TCACTGAAGGAGAGACAGACCCCTTCAATAAAAGGTAAGCCTTAAAGGGGAATTCCATCCAATTTTCAAAGTGTGTTTAATTAAATGTTTAAGAAAGTCATACAGAGTGGTTTGATGTGAAACGCTTACTTCTAGAAAAAAAGTCAGAATTTCTTACAGTAGTCTTGAGGAAGACCACTATAAGATTTCTAGTCTCTAAAAGCCTCCTCACAGAAAGTTATTACTCAAATATGCTGCCTGATGTCTGAGACACTGTTTTGTTAGCTTTGTGAGAAGGTTTTAGCCTAAAACGTATTTTTAAAATACATGCAGACCGATGGAAGGCAAAAAAAAATCCCTCAAAGAAAACTTTTTTTTTTCAGATTTTCCACTATATCATTTTCAATGTTACATCTAAAAACTTGTGTTCGTTCACAAGTCATTTTGAACAGTAAATAAAATGGCTATGCTTGCATGGTAAACATTGTGACCCACAATGTTTCTCCACAATGAACCATTTCACATCAAACCACTCTAAATGATTTTATTAACACACATTTGAGTTACACAGTCGTTTTTACAACTGGGTGGAATTCCTTTGGAATATGTACTTAAGTATTCATCGTGAAGCTGCAACATAAAGTAAAGAACTTGCTAAGTGAGTGTCTTACAAGCTTCAAATGTCTGCATTTAAGCTTCAGCTGCCATTAGTAATATTAAACCCAGTGTGAGAAAGTGCATGTAGAGCACCGTTTGCTTAGGGTTAGCATTGCAAATCCCATAGAGGTACACAGAAATTAGGGGGAAATTAGCATTATTGTAATGCTTATAATTGTGTATACAAGGGCTACTAACAAAGTGGAGATCTGTGTTGTGTAGATGACCTCATGAAAGAAACAGCACCTAGACTGCTATTAGGAGTGTTTTTAATGTAATCCTGCTAGTAACCACCTTATTTTCCTAACATATCTGTAATTTGATTAGTTTTTTCTCTGTAAAGAAATACTGTTACCTTTTTTGTATCCTAATTAGCACTGTTACATGTATTCTGTTAAGACCCAAGTCTGTTTATTGGCACAACACAACAGAAAATATCATCACTGTTCCCAGATCTATAACTGCAGTTTGGCTCCACAGGACCAGCCCCTCACTTGAGGTAGGCCACTTTGCAAAGGGGGCTTTACACAAAAGTAAAATGAGAGTTTTTCCACAGCCTCTTCTGACCGGTGCATCTGTGCTTACACTTCCTTGTGGTGTCAACCTGCCCGTCAAGCAAGTTTTGTCCCTTTGTGTGCTTCTCTTTTTGCTCTCTGTCTTTTTAAACCTCTTTCTGAGGGACCATTCAATAGCCCCAGGCCTTGACGCTTGAAGCTATTCACCTTAGCCTGCTCAACACACCCCTCAAATGCAGCATGACGGCATCCTTCGCTCCACTGCTTTACTCTGACAGGATGACAGCCCTGCTGACTGACACATTTTAAGAGCACAGTGTACCCCCATACTTGATCAGGCCCCGACCCAAAGATACACATGTAGTTGGTTCCCATGTGACTCTATTCTCTTCATTCATGGCCTCCTAAACTCCTTGCGGTTAGGCAGAAAAGTACGTGCTGGCTTTGGCTGGGGCTAGCGTCTCCAAATGTGTGTTTCATTGCTGCTTCATTAAGTTGGAACGGATTCAAGAAAAGCAAAGAACTTAGAGAGCAGGGGGAAAAACATCTACACTCAAAGACAGGCTGACACACATGCTCAAGCATGCGAGCACACACACACACACACATACACGCACCTTTGTCATTAGAAAATAAAATGTCCCCTCTGGGAGTGCCATCTATGTTTCAACCACTGTTACGTTACAAGAGAGGCACCTGTCCATATATGGAGTGCTGGCACCTGATAGGCTGACACATGCCACAGAGTAGTAGGCATGGCCTAAGCTGTTTTCACAGGCACTGTGGTGAACAGAGCCACGCCCACCGTCAGGTGAGCTCATACCACAATAAAGCAATGAGAAAGGAGCAGTGCCGTGAGCAATTAAAGGATTACAGCTAATAGTAATGACCCAGATAACATTTTTGACCGAGAGAAAAAAAAACAGGAGCTGACGAAAAGAGAGGAAAGTAGAGTGATTAAAAATATTGTGAGGCTATTTAGAAGCACAGGTAAGAAAGTACCTCAAAAGAACGTGAAAGTGAGTGGGAAGTTAGTAATCTTCTCATATGACTCCACTGAGATCCTCCTTTGTTTTGGGCTGCAGTATGGGTGATGGACTTGGGAAGACTTTCTCAGTCAATAGGTGTCAGTGTTATACAACGTTTTAGCTCTACTTTCTGATTCATTCAAGTTCACTAAAAGAGAGGCAGAATCTGAAGATAAAATGGTCTACTAATGATCTACTGATGACGAATACTGAACCACTGTGCATGATGGATAACATTACAAATAATTAAATAAGGATGGTTAAAAAAAGACAAAGCATGTGTATGCAAAGCATATGCTCATATTCTACATTTTTCTTATGTAGTATATTTCCCTGACTATTTCACTTACAGTGTGTGCTTTAATGTACCAACACAGTTGTAATTAATTTTTACCTCACCATTTTCCAGCCTCTTTTCATCCCTTAGAATTACCACTGCAAATGCTGTTTTTGTCACTGTTTCTGTAAGGCTGATATGTAAATGACCTCTGTTCTGACAGGCTGCCCTGTATCATGCCTCAAAAACCAGTCCAGGCTGTAACACTTATTTTAACTTCAGCATGAATGGGTCGGGCAAAAGGGCTGTGGGCTGAATGTGTGTATGTATGTACATGTGAGTGTTTTTTTTTTTACATCACAAAAGCAGTGCATTCAAAACGGGCTGTTCTGCAGCTTAGTTTCCATGTATAGTCTGTATGAACTGGTTTTCCATGATATTCTAAACACGTCAGAATGGTGTTCAGTCTGGGCGCAGGCTGCAGTACCTTTTTGTGGCGGTGGGACGAGGACATCTCGTGGACAAAAGGCGGAATCACACCCTCAGGCTTTTCTTGGGTTTCGCGTAATTGGAGGCCTCGCTGAGCCCTTACTGGAAATGGCAATAGAAAAATGAGTCATTTGTGCGGAGCCTCAGTCTGGCTAATCAGCCCTATGAATCACAAGCCACTTTTCACAGAAAACAGTAACAATTGTACTTGGAAAACAACGTGTGGTAATGTGAGAATCTCCAATATGCTACTCACCTGACTTGTACACCATTGGCCACGAACAAGCGAGGCTTCTTACAACCGTAAAAAAAATAGCCTTTAAAAAATGATAAATCTTGTTAGCGTCTAAATGCACTCCTGAAGCTCTTCGTTTAATAGACGTTGGCTAGTTCATTTGTCATATGTAAAGACAAAGCCCTGCAAAACTCAAATATGACGGCCAATGAGTCGTTTAGTGATAGGCTATGGTAAAATTAGCAAGACTATTTTGACTCTAGCACCAGCTGTATGCTTCGGGCTAATGCTAACAGCATGCCCATAGACCACAGTGGTAGGGTTTGGGTTTTATTTGTCACGGGGGGATATACTTCTCCAGGTCTATATAACTTCTCCAGGTCTTTTCTTCATGAACTCATAACTGTCCCGGACGTAAACATAGACTGAATCCCAAATGGGTCTTTATTGAATACAACGTATAACGTTTGGGAGTAGAAGCCGTATTTCAAAGCCTTGTGATGCACTTCTTTGCTGGGAAACAGCACAGACCAGCAAGCATTCTAGGCCAGTCTAAGCAGGTTATGCTGGTTGACCAGCATACCCGCACCAAAAACACAACAAATGCTGTTTTTGCTGGTGATCAGCATAATAACTTCCATTGCTGGTGACCACCATACTAGCATCCAAAAAAAAACATTTGAGATTCAATCTTAGCTGCTGAGAAATAAAGTCTGCAGTGTTTTCAGTGATTCTACGCCGATTTGGCAGGATTCAGACAGGGACACAGTGCCTCCCAGTTTAAATCCCAGGGGAATTAGATGCATCACCTGCCCTGGAATTATCACTTGACCTCCTGCCGAGGTAAAAGGAAATCGCTGTGACGTCGTCACGCAGTACCATATCATCCACCAGGTGGCAGTAACCAGCACATATATATCATACACCTTTTTTATGTAAAAAAAAATAAATAAATAAACATAATAATAAAGGGTGATTACAGCATAGTTAAATAGTTGAGATGTAAACAAGGTCATGTGAAATGGTTCATTGTGGAGGGATGCACTAACAGCTTACTATACAGTAGTGCTAATATACTACAGGAGTCAAGTATGCAGCAGAAATATAGTCACATTAATTACTATCTGTTTTTATATGTGATGGTCATGGTGAAATAGTGGTAAATCTGACAAAAAGGTTTTCTTTGGGTAAGCTCTTAAATATGGTTCTTTAGTAAAGAAAATGCTTCTATATGGAACCATGACCACTCAAAGAAACCTTTGCATGATTAAAGGCCCATTTACAGCACATTCTATATCAGTCTGAAGAATCCTTTCATGATGCAAAGAACCCTTCAGTTATGCAAAGTTCTTTGAGTGGTCATGATTCTATATAGAGCCATTTTATTTACTAAAAAACGCTTGAAGAACCATCTTTTTTAAGTGTGTATACTGTTTCCCTTACAATGCCTTGCCTCTCTAGCATGCATTTTAATAATATGGCTTAGGCCAAGACCTTATCACCAAACTATAAACAATGTCTTAAACATCAGGCCAATGTTTTTAAGAGTTGTCAGAGGTAGTCTTTCAGGGTGTTAAGCACTTTGAATGTTTGGTTCCTATCACCACTATTGTGAACAATTCTGACTCTAAATTTCTTTAGAATGGAATATTTCACATCAAACCACTTTAAATGACTAATAAAAAAATAAAACAGGGAAATTCCCCTTTAATTAACAAGGGAATTATTGAGGACAGATCCTGGATTCTTAATTAAAAACAGATGCACATGATCATTTATTGGATTTGTATGTGGTGCTAAATAAATATGACCTATCAAACTGGTGCAGTAATGGCTTTATTGAACAGATGAGATACTCAGATTGTAATACAAAATATATCATCAGCCACTTTCAACATAATCAGAAACAGCTGTTCAAAGCTTTGTGACATTATCATCAACCATAATTTACCATGCAGATAGCAAGTCTAATCAATGGACAGAAAAGTGACTTGTTAACAAGGTGTTCTTGACACATGTGCACTTTTCATTCTAGGGCCAAGCCATTTTTCTAAGTATCAGTTCTTTTACTTTGGGGGCCTATGATGTACCAAGTCTGGACCCTTTTAAATCCATACAGAGATATTTTGTGCGGCCGAAGTGAGAACGTAGCACCAGATCACGATTTTCACACCCCTCTAAAACACTCTCTCCAGTGTATTCACAGGATATTTTGATCTATCCCATAATTCCATACTGACAAACAATCAGCAGCAGGCATCATTACTACAGTACAAGTGAAAACAATACAGTATTCCTCTGTGTGTTAGTCCATATGGTTAAATAAAAATACACAATTCTTTTTTACAGAATACATTTCAGATTTGACTCTGTATGAAAAAATCTGGAAGACGCTCTTCATGCATGTTCAAGCACGGGGGGTTTTCTCGTTCGGTATAAAAACAATAGATTCAAGTACAATGCATTGCTTTCGGGCACAGTATACAATATTCTATAAGCCTAGATTATACTTAACTTACTCAGCTATCTTCAGATAAATATTAACAAAAAAAACTTAAAGGTAAGTTTTCCTACTCAGTTATTTGTTTTTGCTACTATACACTGTTGACTTTATTAATATGCTAAAAATCCTTTAAATAACATTTGATATTTTCCGCAAAGGTGTTCCTTTTCTTCATATTTTAAGACAGCATTTTCTTAGTGGAACATATGTTCTTGTGGCGTTGTTGTTTTCTTTCTCTCCCCCAAGTCTGACGTGGATGGACTGGTCTGGGAAGTATTGTGCAGTGATGGGAGGAGGATAAAATCTCAACTTGCCCTAGCATGCTCATCTCATGTATCATCCCTGGTCTAAACAGCTGCTCGGAGATGAGGGGCATGGGGAGTTGCACAATAGCGGAGTGACTGCATACTTCTCTGTGTGAACAGAGAAAGACCGTTAGATTGACAATAAAACCACACACCTCTTCTTGGGTTTGTTTTTTGTCCAACTGGTTCTTCTATGGATCCACAACGTGTCCAAAGGCCTTACTCCCAGGGAATGATGTAGGAGAGAGCTGGACAGATGTGTGGAAACATCTGGGGGTAATAGGGATAGATTCTGGGAAAATACACCTTTCAGATGGAAAAGGGAATGATTGCACCCTTAATTCAGTCCACCTTCACGTAGCCATTGGCGTTGGTGGCCAATCCTCTGGCTCCTCTTCCTCTCCTACCTCCACCTCTTCCACCTCTTCCACCACCATCAGGCTGTCCTCCAGTCCGGCCAGGCTCCGCCCCCTCATCAAAACGTAACCGTAGTGTGTTGCGGATGACCAGGCGCTCCACGATGAAGGATGCGCAGAACCAAGGCACGGCATACTCCGCTGTGATCAGCCCCATGAAGTTGTACTTAAACTCAGAGTAGTCCCAAGGACAGGCATTGAACTGCCGCAGCAGCAGACCTGTGCCAAACTCCCATAGATAGGTCCACAGTGTGTAGATGATGCAGCGCAGCAGTACGTTACAACGGCCCCGCAGGCACAGGTACATGCGCTCTACGATGAGGATGCATGTGCCATAGATGAATAGTGCCCACACGCTGGTCACACCAGGAAACTTCCAGTTACAGTTGACTACGAACTCCCAAGCTGCCGTGAACATCACTTCGCAGAAGTAGCCGTGGATGGCGTACAGGTACCACCGCGACAGGGCCGTCAGAGGCTCGGGGGTCATCGCTGTTGCCATGGTGACCATCCCGGTCACTCTGTTCCAAACAGTGGGGAGGACCCTGACTGGAGGAGGGGAAAATAGTGAGAGAAATTTAAGTAGGCTGCATATGTAGAACCTTGAATGCACTAGCAGAGCAATGTTCAGCTCAAATGAAGGCTTGCAGAGTATACTGACTGCCAAAAGGGTTGTTTTGTAGTGATGAAGCGAGTCCTTCAAACACAACACGAAAACCTCTATAATATGCACAGGGGCTGTACAAGAAGGCTGTTCTGTGGCGGAAAACTGACTCGTCAAGTACGCTATACTCTAAATCCTTTTTACACATTCACACATACACCCACTTAATCACATGTCAGGAGGCCACCAAAGGGCTGTGTCCTTCAAACAACTCAAAACAGAAAGGAGCAAGTACTCCCTTTAGATTGTCAGTCAATGCTAACTCATTTTTAAAAAGACAATTAAGGATTGAACTGTCTCAAGAGAAGTCTGATGAATGACATTAGAGCAGAATGTGGTAACAGGATCGCAGTTCACACTACTAGTTGAGCCTAAAAGCGGAACTGTGCGCTGTGTGCCATTTTTTTTTTGACAACAAGCTGCTTTTGCCTGTAAGCAGACATGCCAGGCCAGACCACTGAGGATTAGCTAATTTCTCTAAAACAAGGAACAAGGGTTTCTTGTAAATAGCCAAGCCAACAGCCTAGGCTAACTGACCCTTAGCTCAGCAAAACAACTTCACCTTCACCCACCTACTCACCCCAGTCCAGCTGTCTGTCTGACCTGAACATTGGGTGGAGGTGTTACATTTGGGCAACATTCAAGGATGAGGAGGAGAGGGCTTGATATTGGAGCAGCCTTAATTAAAGAGGATTTTAAGGCACCCGACTCTTATTGCAGTCTCAAAGTCCCAACTGTCTGTTAGGGTTTGGGAAGTGGAACAGTTCTGTGTAGTGAAGATGGGAAGGACATTGAGGAGCTAAAATATACAACCTCAAACTTGATGGTGTGGACAGTGAACTTCAGAACAATTTTAGTTATTATGCTGAAAGGAATCCACCAAACACACAAATTATAATCAGCTACAGTTCGTTTCCCATGCAGTGCATCTTGTAACACACAGTGTGGAGGAAACAAGTGTTAAGATTTTTTTGTTATTTACTTCTAGTTCACATATCACTTCAAATTTACACAAACAATGTTTTTTGACTTTGTACTTTTAAATATAACAAAAAATGAACTATGTATTTATAAGCATAAACAATAGACCCAATATATATAGACACTATATGCAGTCACTGGAAAAGAGTTGCTGGACAACCTGAAAGCAGCAGGAACAACAGTTACACAAAGAACAATAAGCAATGAATTGCAACACAGTCATCTCTGTTCCACTCCATGCAAAACAACTCTGGTAAAACCTCTGGTAAAAAAAGATGATGCACTGTTATATTCATCTAAAATTTGAGCATTTAGACAAATCAGAGTGCAGTGTACCTTAACATTTACATAATTAAATTTAACTGAAAATTTGAAATGATGGTTTAAGATGAGGATGATGATTATTTTGAATGAAGCGCATTAGCTAGCTATACAATATTATTCAAATGCTACCTTGGATTGAGTAGCGCTGCAGTGGAAAAGAGCAAGTTTTGTTCAATGTCAGAAAACCAATTCTGTACAACTGTTGATTTGCTCCCCATCTGTCTTTCAACATCAGTCTCTCAGTATCTCTGTGACAGCAAGAATCACATTCGAGACTAGATGCATCCTAGAAGCTTACGTGTGGAGCGTGGAGAACTGTTGCTGAATGTCCTCTAAAGCCAGACACAGACTGTGATTTTAGAAATCTTGTTCTGACTCGCACTGTAAGTTTGAATATCTATCCATCATGTGTGGACAAAGTCTGCAATTTATATACTCACACTGCATGAAAGCACTCCATCCATTTACAGACAGATATCTATGTCTAGGAACAATTTCAAATAAAGCTGTTTCATTCAAAATAACACTCCGGATAATGTAGGCTATAATAAAAACTGCAGCTCTTGGAATTTAAATTTTACTCTTTCAAACTGTGATTTCTGTATAAAAACAATTATTCTTTCAGCCCTGGTACCAAGACATATTAGAGTATAATTTAATCTCATCACCCAAGATACCGAATCAGGGTAAAAGATGAAAATCTAACAAGACAACGACCCTAAACATTCAGCCAAAATAACTATATCTAAAAAAGAATGTGAACATGCTCGTATGGCCTAGCCAATCTCCTCACGTTGATTTCAATGAAAATTTAAGGACGTTGAAATTGTGAGTAAATTTGAAGTGGATAAATGTACTGGAACTTCCTAACAAAAACAAGTGTCTGGACTTTTTTCCTCTCACTTTATTCATTAAATAACCCCGTTACTTACCACCCTAAACTAAACCAATGTTCTTTAGCCAGGTGAAATCAAGTATTTCACGAAACACAGACTGTAGCTTATGTCAGATTTGTTTGTACCTTGGCTTCAGGGAGAGTGATATAAGCAAACAAAAAATAGACCTAAATCTGAATAGAATTAGAACATTACTTTTCTTGATATTTAGGGAGATACTAAACAAACTTTAAGTTTTGAACATGTACGGTGCAGTGCACAACCAGAGTATGCAGTTAAACAGATCCAAGAAGAACATGCTTTGGTCACCTTCTCCATAACATTCTTTATCTGTGAATTTTTTACAGCAATTGGACACATTTCTCAAGACCAGCCTTGAAGACCATTTTTGAAAGTAATATTTACCATTGTAAGTGTTTTTTGTTTACCGAATTGTGTGTCACAGAATTCACACCTATATTATTTCAATTGGTGGCTATAATACAACACCATTTTGAAGCATGTAAAGTGAGAGCCAGCCAGACTAAAGTACAGCCTCCACATGGTGGAGTTAGTTTAACACAGTGCTACAACTAGGTCTTCTGAAGTAATTATTTATAATAATTGTTTAGCACAAAACAAAAATGTTGCGCCCTGCTTTCTCCTAAATAATGCTAATAATGTATATTAAATTGGACATTTTAACAATGTTAAAAACTTCCCCAAACGACAAAACAGTTATGCTGCCAAATGACAGCACAATTTACCAAATTACATATGAATTACAAATTACAATTTAAATATACTGCATTATATACACCAATATCATTACTACAGTAAAAACAAAAATGTCCACCAACAGACGAGCAACATAAATGCTTCAACAGCTGTTAAGACCCCCAGATTTAGCACTTTAGTTATAAAAAATAATAATTAAAAAAAGAACATCCAGAATTTACCTTTATAAACGGTTCCTCTGATTACTGTTCTTTTATTCATAGCCTTTATATTTTTGCACAAAAAAAATATAAGATCTCAGATTTTTTCTGTTTTCTGAATAATCCAAAAATACTGCATGCTTTCTTTAACAAAGATGTTATGCATAATTGCATCTTAAAATAAGTTATATACATAATTGCATCTTAAAATTAAAGCTTTATACTGTAAGCACAAAAAAGGGGTCATGACATTGAGCTGTATAAATATTTCCACATACAGAAGAATTAGACTAAATAACATGGTTTTTCAAATTGTGTCCGTAATGTAAATAAGTACTTTAAAAGAGAACAAAAAGGTTAATCCGTTTTTTGATAACATGAGAATGTGTGCAGAAATTGTTTTGCAGAAAGTCACAAACACAGACAAAAATCTGTTTAAAAAAAAGTCTATGAAGTGATGAAGCAATAGTGCGCACACATGGCTTTCTTTTAATAAGAGCTACGTGATGTACGTTTGCCTCTGTGGGTTGTTCTCGTATCCCCTCCCCCTAGCAGTTTGCTCTTCAGTCAGCATTGGTATTGATCTGTACCCAGTTAGACCTCTATTGACCCTCCCAGGAACCCAGGCAGACCAGAGTCAGATACGAATGCTCTCTCAAACACAGCAGCAGCTGCTGAGTAGGCAACACAAACCCAGCTAGCCATGCAGATTCATTATGCATGATAATGCTGGTGCTACCTTCATATCGACTAATAATTCCTGAACAGCAGTCTTGGTTCAATATTGTGATTTAAACAATATTCAGGCTGGGTCTTTATGGACTGGACTATTGCTTGTACCTGCTGCTGTGCTCTCCGTTAAAGTGTAGCATCACTGGTACATGCTTTCTTTTAGACATACTGGCTGATATGTGGTACTCAAATACAAATCTGCCAGCCTCAGCTCAGAGTTTCTGATGACAAGAATGGTAAGCTTTTATAACCTCCTCGTAATGGGTACATTAAAAGGGGGGTAACTGTCATCTATCAAGATACAAGCACCAAAAAAAACCACCCAGTTGATTAATGGATGTATCAGAGCTGCTTTGCATATTTACGGCCAAACATCCAGCAGTTGCACCAGAATGCTAATGTTTCCATATGATTCAATCAAATATTACATTGAAACATCTATATTGAATATGAGAGAAAATCTCTTTTCTAAACATTATTTCCAAACATGGGTGGAACTTCCAACATGGTATCCATCATTAAGATGTAAGACAGGATTTACTAATAAATGCTTTACTGCAGACTTTGTTTAATATCAATTTTGGTGTAACAGCAGGCAGTTAGCATCAACAGACATGTATCACGGTAGTGTGGGATGAGATGCCTGAGCCAAGCGCAGTGCAAGTTTATAAAAAGCTGAATGTTTTCCCTCTATTTTTATAAATCAGACAAGGATTTATCTTACAATTTTCAGCATTTAGCAGACTAAACACTGAAGGACAGAATGAAAAGATTCTTAACAGCACTGAAAAGAAAAAAAATGTAATCCATCAGATGAGCCGAAGTACACATACTCTAGCACGTGAAGAAACTTTACAAAGGACACTGAGCACAGAATTTGGAAAATTAATACAAAAGCTCAGTTCACTTCAAATGTAGGTGCGTTTGAGGTCTGTATCTGGGCAATATTCCCTAATCCTCATTACTACTGCCAGAAAAGCCTCAAGCCTACCATGTGTATTAAGTTTTAGTTACCTTTAGGTTTGAGTAATGCCAATAGCTCTTCGGAATACTCCCAAGAAATATTCTGGATCATGGCAGGACTACCTGTAAAGAATATTAAGCACTTGAAATTCCAAATAAGAGGAGAATTTTGCAGTAAATTTGGAGACAAATCCAGATTTTCTAGAAATACATTTAAAAAATGTACAACAGGGGTGAGCATTTCTTTATGTATTATTATTAACATAATATTGGACAATACGTTTTGTTTTTACCTGATGTTATGCACAACATTATTGTGATAAATTATGCCATTATATGTTTTTCTGAGCATATCATAGGTGTCATCAGTATGTCTTAAAACGCTGAACTGCATGTATCATAAGGGCAGATTGAGACCAATCACAGAGAACCTTTAACTACATGAACTATTAACAAGGTCTTGAGATTTTAGCCCATTATTTCATTAACTTCCTGTTTTTATTTACCTTCCTGTTCCTTCTTATATAGCTTATTTTTGCAAACACTGAATGCAAATTACTGCATGCATGGCTTTTTATAGCCTTTTGTAACTTATTTTAACTACTTTTAGACTTATTTCGGAACTAAGGGGTGGAGCCCAAACCCTGAAAAACAGCCCAAGATCATTATCACTCCTCCACCAAAATTTACTGTTGGCACTTTGCATTCCAGTATATAACGTTCTTCTGGCATCTGCCAAACCCAGAAAAATTCAATCACGTTTCTACTGTTCCAGAGTCTTTTGGCGGTGTGCTTTATACCCCTCCAGCCAACGCTTGGCACTGTGCACAATGATCTTAGGCTTGTGAGCAGCTGCTCAGCCATGGAAATTAATTTCATGAAGCTCTTGACACAGAGTTCTTGGGTTTACGTTGCTTCCAGAGGCAGTTTTGAACTCTGTAGCAAGTAGCGCAAAGGAAGATGATTTTTACATGCTTCATGCTTCAGCATTCGGCGACACTGCTCTGAGTTTTTGTGGTCTACTGCTTTGTGGCTGAGCTGTTGTTGCTCCTAGACCCTTCCCTTTCACTATAAAAGCACTTAAAGTTGACCAGGGCAGATCTAACAGTGCAGAAATTTCACAAACTGACTTGTGGCAAAAGGAGAAATCCTATATAATATGGCCTACAATTGCATTTTGTTTCCTGCCTAGTCAGGATAGCTAGAATCAGTGTTAACCAGAAGTGAAAGAGAAAGGAGTTATAATATGACCGTTTCCCAACTGACCCAACTGTCATTTAAACTACCTTTTCTCCTAGGAGAGCCACAGACAGCCCACAGACAGACAAGTGCATAGAATGCCACTTGTTCAAAGCATGTGTGATAAAATCCTTTGTATGAGGGCCACCAGTCAAAAGCCCATTTCTGCAAGAGAAACTATATAAATGCCCTCTTCACTACTTTGTAACTTTGAAATTATTGACTACGATGCATCTTTGCTCCCTCTATTTCTGGAGGTGGCTGATGGGATCTCTGGGTCCTTGCCATGAGGTCACTCCACTCTGCACAAAATTAATGGCAGTGGATCAATAGCGGAGACAGCTCAGTTACATCACTGCAGCATCTTAGCTCTCAAGCCCAAAGATCCTTCATCCTTATCATCAGGTATGATCATCACTGATAGGCCTCTAGAGTAGAGAATCAGGACCTGGGGCTCTTGTTTCTAATGGAAGAGGAAGTAGTACCTTTTCTCACATGCATATCAGCATTTCATGTCATATCAGCATTTGAAAGGGAAACTCCCTTGTTTTCCACTCCCGTTCCATTTGACTGGACTGATGTCCTTGTTCAGTTATAAAAACTTATTTAAATGCATCCAACCTGCTTTTCATGCTTCAATTAGTTCTTGTATTGAAATCCTCAGCATGATCTCAAAGGGAATTTCTGCCAAATTTTAAAGATTTCTGCACAAATAATGGTTGTATGATGTAAACAGAGTTAGGTTTAAATGTTTAATGTGAAAGGCTCAGTTTAAGAGTAACTTATCATGGTTGAAATGTTCCCCTACAAAATGGCACAACCTTCAAATTAAAAAGAAAACTGCTTCAGAAACGTTAGTTCACGCCTTCATCACGTCCAGGTTAGATTACTGTAACGCTCTGCTTTCTGGCTGTTCCAGCCAAAACCTTAACAAGCTTCAGTTAGTCCAGAACGCTGCAGCCAGAGTTCTCACCAAAACCAGGAAATTTGACCACATTAGCCCAATTTTGTGTACCTTACATTGGTTGCCAGTTAAATTCCGCATTGAGTACAAAATTCTTCTACTGACATATAAAGCTCTGAATGGCCTTGCTCCTCAGTACCTCAGTGACCTTATTTCCTATTATCAACCGACACGCCCACTTAGATCACAAGGTGCGGGCTCATTATTAGTACCCAGAATAAATAAAGTTACGTCAGGGGGAAGAGCCTTTTCATACAAAGCCCCCCAGCTTTGGAATAGCCTACCAGTCTGTGTTCGGGACTCAGACACAGCCTCTATCTTTAAGTCTAGGCTAAAAACTTACCTGTTTAATCGAGCTTTTGGTTAATTTGTTTTTCTAACTATGTCCCTCTCATCCCCCCTCCCCTCTCAACCTCACTGCTGGTCTTTAGTTAAATTTAGGCCATGATATGCCTTCAAGAAGGGGGGATGCAACAATTATTTATTATCACCCACCCCTAATTCTTCAGTGATACGAAGCTGAAGTCAGCTATTCACCAGCTTCTTGTTCGAATTTTCCCATTCCACTTTAAATGGCGCAGCATTTCTTATGCCTGATGCGCCAGAATGTAACTACTGCACCATTTAAGATGTAACAGGAAATTTAGCTAGCTAGCTACTGAGTCATCACCATACTACTAGTGATGTTTTAAGCTTGTTATGAAGAAAAGGATCATAATACATTAAAATGACATTAAACTAAGATAATACAATGGTTACTGTAATTTTTAAGAGATAATACTCACATTTGTGGGTTTCTTTGGTTGCTTATACAGCCATCTTGACGGTTTTTCTTTTTTCTCATAACACTCTGGAGTGTGCTTCTCAAAAAACCCGTTCAGAGGGCCAAGTAGCCCTAACACTTTGCCTTACCCCTCTATCTTAAGAAAACCCTACCCCTAGGCAGAATGCACACAACGGAAGGGTAGGGCTAAGTGGTAGGGGCGAAGAGGTGGAATAGGATTGGGCCCTAAATACACTGAAAATAAAACTCAAGGGGGTCAGCCAACCCTCTCTACAAGATGAGTCTCAGCCTCAGGTCAGTTTCTTACACTGACCGAGACCCAGAAAATGCCCTAAGCCCTCAGACTGCATAACATATAGAGATTAGGACCTTCCAAGGCTTAAAAAGACAAGGTTTAACAATGTGGCTATAGTAAAGTTTATAGTGAACATACTCTTGAAAACTTAATCTTATCTTAAATCTTATACAGCTGGTCTTGTAGAACAGCATGAGATGCTTGGTTGCTGTAAGACTGTCAAAAAGTTAAAAGTATTGTATGTTACATTTAGAGCTACTTTATAAGAGGACTCTGACAAAAAGGAGGCTATTTGTGGGGTTTTTCAAGAGGCAGGAAGGGATCATGGCACTTAAGGCCTCTACAGCAATCTCACTTCCACCCTCGCATTGTGTAGTCATCCACCAGCCCTGTGACTGTGGTTGTGCCAAAATGTGTGGGTAAGACTTCAATAAAAGCACCTTTTTTTTTCTTTTGACTGAAAGAGCTTTATTTCCACCTCATGACCTAAGGACACAGGGCCTCTTAAAAAGCAGAACTGTAAACTAGATTATAGTTTAGCTTTGGGTCAATAATTTTTAGTTGAATATTATTGATGCACCTGATGTAACTACTTCTGTTCACACAGTAAAAAGGTAATTCAAAGAGGTCAAACAACCTTTTTTACAAGACACTCTTCAGCTCCTTGCACTGAGCATGCTCTAAGCCTTCCAGACTGCATAACATATGGGGATTAGGACCCTCTGAAGCTTAAAAAAGGCAAGGGTTAGCAATGTGGCTGTAATGAGCCACGTAATAAACAAAGCAGCATGAAATTTCAGCTTCAGGAGAATCCTCGCAAAGTGTCATTGCACTGTAATGATCTCGGCCTACTGTGTGACCACTACACAGTTTGCTAAGACAGTTTCACTACTGGCCAATTTTCCTGACACAGATTAAAGCCAATCCTCACACTAAATTACAGAGTTAGTGGAGACTCTCCACTGTCCATTTTTGGCCAAGGACTATGTAGTGCTGGGCAATATACCTTATAGCATGATACAGATATTTCATAAAATAGCTGTATATGACACTAAACCAAGCTGTCCCTGTTACCAGTCTGTTTGCTTTTAGTTTTTCCATTTGAGCACTTCACTCATGGTATCATTTACTGGGTGCTTCAGTATGGCTTCATTAACTTTGTTAATGCAAATCTAAATATCATCTGATACTGTGATACCATGACATATGAAGAAAGTATTAGAGATGCACTGATATAGGAATCTTGGGCTGGTGCTCATGTCTGATATTTTTTTTATGTGTATATCCGCCATTGTCGATATGTAAACGTTTATAAAATCTTGAAATTTAGTTTAGCCTTTAGTGTACCTTCCTAGCATCACAGAGAAACATTACACTTATTTGTAGAGGGTTACTAATGCGTGACAAATCAATAAATATAATAAATCATCAAATATCTGTTTTAAAGCATCGGTCAGTCTAGGCATCTGTGCCTTTCCAATATATTTTTATGTATATATCTGCCTATAATGATATGATTTCAGTATGACTGTGCATCCCTAGAAAAGTAGAAAAGACTAAGATACTGAATTTCATCAGTGCCATCCTGCACTAGGAGCAGTGTTATCTGTGGGCTGGAAAAGTGACCATAAATGGTTCAGAATATCACTTATGGCCCGTCAAAGAACTGAAATGTAGATATTTAGATCTGTACTGGTAACATGACCTGCAATGCAGTGGAACTTTCTCCACTCGCGCCAAATCCCCCGTTTTAATCAACTGTGCTCTGAGGATCAGTGTGTCTTTGATCTGGTTCTCTAGTGATCTCGTTGGCGTAGGGGACTTCAGTTCAGAGCACAAGGGCGAATTGTAGACTTAAACACACACACACACACGCAAAAGATCCTCGTTCGACCTCTTCACCATCACGAAATCCCCGTTTGCCTTTGGCTCCTTTTGTATCCGCGGCTCTCTTCGTGTGAAGAATCTAAAACATTTAAACTGACCGTTTTTTTTTCCTCAGATACGTTTACATGCCTGAAAGCCGATTTCGCTCCAAATGCGGAAGCCTCAAAGCACCCATCCTTCATACTAATGTCAACACGGGCTCCATCCGTCTCATCTCCGTGATATAAACGTGAATTTGCTCTGGTTTAAGGTTCTCCACCGCAGTCGTGACGGCGCAGGCCCTTAACCGTTCCCGTCGAAGCTGAAGTAAACGCTCATTCCTGTTCTTAGCTTATTCTTATTCCAGTTTTCCGTTCCACCTTAACTGGTACAGCAGCGGCGTTCTGGCTTCTGTACGGGCGCCAGAATGTAACCGCAGCACCATTTAAGGTGGAATGGAAAATTCGAATAGGAAGCGACTTCAGCCTCGTCCGTTCCGCAGCGACACTCACTGCACCGGCTCTCTGCCTCTCTCAGCCGGCACCACAGTCAGCCGCTACCATCACCTCTCCACATCCACAGCCCTCAGCAGAGCTCGGGACGCAGCTCAGGCTCTCACATCCACGATAAACGCCGAAGCTCCGTTTAAACAGCACGAACTCAATTCGTTAATTATAACGCGCGTGCAGTTTAGCTTACCCTAAAATCTCGATGACTCCAGAGCCGCTACACCGCTGTTCTGGTACCAAACTGGTGATTTGTAGCCTAAACATGGCCCGTGGAGAGCAATTTATGAGCTGGACTGACAAGGAAAGTGATGTCAGGCCAACAAAAAATGAAAGAAGCCGGAGGGCAAAACACCTGAGCCCAACACGGCTCTCTAAACGACTGAAGAGAAATGCTCTGTGATGGAAACGAGGCTACAAAAGCGACATTCTGAGGCTGTTGTAATGCTGGTTTGACAAGCTAGCAGAAATGTAGGTGAAAGCCTGGCATTCACCCTAAGACAGCCTACAGAGACATCCTGAAAGTGGCTTACCGTGTGTTTACTCTTCGGGTGTAGAGCGGCTGGGATCAGGCCTTTGGAAATGCATTGTAATGTGTGGACGGAGAAGCTACATAACAGGAAAATCGTCGTGCCGGTCCCCTCTCAGTCCGCATTTCCCCCGGCTAACCTCTCTCCACTGGTAACTGACACATTTTACTTTACTGCAGCAGTAACAGCACATGCTCAGAGGCGAGCTTGAGCATCCAGCACCCAGCTCCAGCAGCCGGAGTTAACCGCTTCATTGCTGGTTTTTTTTTTTTCGGTCGTGTCCTACAAGCAAGACTCGACTTGAGAGGGAATGCCAGGGAATCAAAAGAAAGAAAAAAAAGACAAAAGTGATATGTTAAATTGCCACTGCCCTTGACTTAATGTTATGTGATATTGCCTAGAATGTGTAATATATATTTAAATTCCATCAATATTTAAGAATTACTGGCCTTGGATATACGAGACCCACCCGCCAAATCCCACTTGAGGTCTCTTTTTTTCCACAAACACTGCATAAAAGCCCACAGCAAAACTGCCTGTTAGTCTGGGTGAAAATCTGAATAAGATGCGAAGGACCTCAGGACCTGGGTTGTAAATCGCTCATGTTCAGCAGGCTGAAGATTCTCCACAAGGGGGCCTATTAGCACTCAAAGGGCTTTTGGTGCTTTGCATCAATGACACCGTGTCCTCTTGTTTATTAATCCATTAATGCCCATATCTTAAATTCAAAATTATCTTTGGTTCAAACTGAGGCTAAAAAGTGATTTATCCAAATGTGACTGTGAATAAATGTAATATGTAATACATTAAATCAAACATGGGTTTTTTTAACGGGGTACTGTAAGATAATCTAAGGTATAACTATACAATTTTGAATGGACAATCACTTTCAACCTAACAGAACAAGCTCTGTGACAGTTTTCCTAATCATTATGAATTTAGTTGTTAGACATGAATTGGTTAATAAGGAAGTCCCTCTCGCTCAGATGATATTATGATGCTAACACTATAATGCTAGATGTTGTAAACCTCCTGCAGTGTTTACTTAATGAAGTCCTACATGTTTTCTGTGATCAGGGTTAACTGTGCATGCCCTCTGTGAACTGTTTGATTTTGAGGAGAGCCGTGAGTGCAGCTGGCAGTTGTTTGATTTTATTTGACTTCTTTCTTACAAAGCACTGGCTAGCTGGTCACAGTCTTCCAGATTTGACCTGCAAATATCTAACACCAAGGGACATCTTTCTCATGATCATTATTTGAATGTACACCTACAAAAAGCCTGACTGTCATTCTGATTAAAAACATGAGGCATTTAGTGAACGTGATTAAGATGATGGGAGGATTTCTATTGCCACATGCTCTCTAAAGGTATCAATATTTAATAAGCCAACTGTGGCATAAACTCAAGCATATCACGTATCACTGCAAGGTTTTCAGTGACTTTCTTGGCAGGATGTGTGTAAGTGTGAAGAAATGTATATACACATATAATGGTATCATTCTTAAGCAGGTGCATTGTATTCACGGAGCAGTACCCTTTTAGAATTTCCATCATCTCTGAACAATTCTCCATTTATGCAAGAGTTTCCTTACAAAAAGAATATGCTGTACATGACAAATTCATTATAACAAGCATTGATAAACACTGGAGGCCCAAAATGCACCACTGTACAATAATGCCTCCGTAATGTTTTCATTTACATATTCACAAAAGAGAAACAACTTTTGTAATTACACCATAGAAGCATAGATGCAATACTGTGGAAAAAGGTAGAAAAAGAGCACATTCTGTCATTTTTATCAATAAGTTAAACGTCTGTGGCGTCAGGGCAGGACGGACTGAAGAAACCGAATAATACAAGCATCCAAACAATCAAAATGATAGTACGGAAAGAATTGTCCATCTCTTTTCTGAGCAGTTTTGACATGTTAGAAAATAATGCAAGAGGCCAATACAGCAGCTTGTCCATGTTTTCCCCTCCCTCAGGGTTTGTGAGCAAGCTGTTTCAAGAAACATTTTAGTTTCTCTGCTTTATCAACATTTAACTAAAAGTGATTACATTTGATTAAAAAAAAAGATAGCAACAAGACTTGTAATAATAATAATAATAATAATAATAATAATAAACAGAAGTAGCAATACATGGTAAATATTGAACACAGTCCTGTACAGACAGGTCAGTCCTATCATTGGCCAAAGCCCAAAGTTCAAGCCCAGAAACATTTTTTTTTGGGGGGATTTTTTTTTTTTTAAGTGTCTCCGAGTGACACAAGTTCTAATATTGCCCAGGCTGAGCACAGATCCTCTTCACAGGTCCTTCCATCGCTGAGAATTGGAAAAACACCTCCATCTTAATCTGCAGAATAACAACCAGGGAGATGCCATCAGTATTTTTAATCGATCATGCTTTGATGTCCTGAAGCTGACAGACAATACATAATAGGGATTGCTTAGACTAGGAGACTACTAATAAACCCACTAGTCATCACTTCGGGATACACTCGACTAGCTGAGCACAGTGCCTGAAATACAGAAATGGTTTAAATAAAAAAAAATATATATAAAAAAAAACCCTTCAGTGAACAGGCTGGAGGACAGAACAGAAATCAATTTTCTGCTAAAAACTCAAAGCCCTATGTACTTTATTAATGTGTAAATACTACACAAGATGAAAACAATTCCACTGCAAGCTGTGTAAAATTGCTCTGAAATTTGTGTTGTAAGCCAGAACGAGTAGGTTTTGAGAGCTGCCATCTCTGATAGGGAAAGGGCCATTTGACTGATGACCAGTCAGAGAAAGTCTAGCACAGAAAGTTTAGCATGACATACCCATAACAAAGCAAAACTGTTAGAGATGGACCAATCAGTGTTTCTGCAGCCGATACCTATTGCCAATCACCTTTCAACACTGTCGGCCAATAGCCGATACTGATCGAGGGTGGGGCTGGACTGATAAGGCCTATTCACACCAAGTATGATTTTTTTAAATTGCGATTTTAACGTAGTGGGACCTTCACGTCAAGTCTGAAGGGTTTTTCTGTCTAAACAATCTGAAAACTTTTTTCCTGTTAAGCATTGTAACATAGACTGGGTACATTCCATTCTACACAAAAAAATAAACATAAAAAAAAAAAAAAAGAAAAGAAAAATGGGGAGTCCTACCACCTCTTATAAGAGCTTTAGCTGCCTAACAAGCAATTCTGCAGGTATTTTATATAGGTTCACATTTTTTTAGTCAGCGTTTACTTGTTGTAAAAGCTTTTGCGCCCTGCTACAAGAGTTCTGCTGCCTTCCTGATGCACATTTGTTTGGGCTGCAACCATGACAACAGGGCCTGATTTTAACGCATTTTCCAATTAACAATGTATGCAGCGTCAACATTTGAACGAGGAACTACAGGATCCTGTGACCAAGGAGCCTTGCACAGGGCTGCAGCAATCCTGAAATAAGTTTTACATCACTGATCAGCTGTCAGGAACGGCTAAGTTAGAGAAATCTCGGCTGATTGCAGATACATAGCCGATCAATCGTTCCACCTATAAAAATGGCATTAGATAAAGTGGAGCAGCAGTCACCAAACTTAGCACCTACAGATTCAAACGAAAATGGCAATAGCATGAATCTCTTCTGGTTCAGCAACTAAGCCTATATCTCACTCTGAAAAGCTTGTCTATAGAGATGCAACTGTTTAGCCTGATAAACAACTGTCAAAAACAGTATCAGAACATTAAGCACGGATAGCCAGTTTAAAATCTCCAGGAGAGGATTATAAAAGCTGTGGTGATTTTAGCCTGAGGTTTACATCAGATAGTCAGTGTATTACTGTGAAGCAGAGTGCCTGAGGCTGAAACTTACAGAAATACAAAAAAAAAATAAAATTAAAAAAAAAAGAACCTCACACCTCAAACCACAGTATCTGCCGCTCCAGCCCCTATTAGCATGATACTAACAAATGACTATTCACAGACCCACAGAACACTGTGTGCATGGTAATGACGACTAGTCAACTAGTAAAAATGAATAGTCATGCAACCCAGAGAGTACATAGGTTTAAAATGCAATGCAAGCACACATCAAGACATGTTTATGTGCACATATAGAGTCCCACAACAGTAATACAAGTATACCTGTTTTCCGTGCTAAAGAACAGCAGGCAGAAGCCTCAGAAGGGGTCAGTCAAGCTCATGAACTTCGTTGTCCTGCATGGCAGAGGGGGGACGGCCCTGCTCGGATACACGCTTGGACATGATGTCCCACTGAGGGCCCAGTACTTTGGGTTTGGATCCTGAAGAAAATGGACACAGAGTGCAGGACAGAGCTTAAAGCGTGTGCACAAGAGTGCAGGACAGAACAAGCGTGTATACGATCCAAAATCCCCCATTGGATCTGGCACCTATTTTGGTGGATCCTGCACCTTGTGTGCATATGAAATTAAGGTATTGCAATGATCTGTAAACATTTCATGAAAAATAACAAAAAAAAAATCCATATATCAAGTGATGTATTCCTATAAAACTGCTAATTTGACTAGTTTAATAGTCTGTCTTATGAGTTTGAGAAATTCACATACACAAGAAGATTATTTCCTTAAGAACTTTGTTATTACACTTAATCCTAAAAATCAATGATTCCACGAAACCTAGCACTGAGCTGCATGTTTAATGCATCTTTTTAAATCTTTTAAAACGCACACCTCCTTCCCCCTTGCACACCAATCTGGCGCATACGTCCTTACTTAGTGTTCAGAACCTCAGAATTTACCTATTAAGCACTGATGCATGCACATCGATTCACCAAAACAAAACGTTATTGCACTTTCCAAAAAGAAGCCTTCATCTAAACATATTGGTCCAAGCTGAATTACACACTATTCTGCACCTTGTGGTCAACAGGGAGGAATCAGAATTTGAGAAAAGTCACGAAAGTTTAGATAACTTGTATAGTAAATTGGAAATTCTGATAAAATATTTAGCTTCTCATATGAAAAAACATGACATGTCTAAACTCCATACTCCATTGGAGGGCACTGTAGAGCCTGTCTTTTACATTTAGACCAAAGACTGGCTGTGTCCAATATAGCATACTCTGTATCTTATACTGCACCCATACTACTCTTCTACATTAGTATACAGTATAATCACACCCAACTCCTGTATGAAACATGAACGGGGTGTTGCTAGACTGCCAACATCAAAGACTGAGCGAATCAGGCCTATCTCAAGACCCCCCCCCTATTTTCCTTAGCAACCTTTACTGGCTGCTTTTTCAGCTCTTTAGCAGTGTATGTGGATATCTTTTGATTTGCCTGGATGACTCCTAAAAGACAAATACCACTGCAAAGTGGAGTGTGTATTCTATGGATCTCCAAAGCCACAAATACAGTTTAGAAATGTCAGCTTTGAGTTTGTCTGAGTGGTTAACCTGTGCGGTTACCAAAGACATCCATGTTTTACAGTGTTTGTTAAAAGTTGAGTGATTTCATTTTCATGACACTCATGGCTGCTGCTATGAGCTAGTCTGACTGAAAAATAAGCAGTGTGACTGAACATGACTGTGAAAAGCTGATGCTGTGGGAATTGTTTGGCTGAGACTAACTTTAGTGGACCATTCCACTGAATTAGTTCAAACAACAACAAAACACTTAAAAAAATTAAGTGTTCAGACCTTGGACATTTACAACAATTATTGTATATGCACCGTCTCCCCCTATTGGCTGTAAAAAATGCTGTTCACACTTCCGGTGTACTCGCTTATTTTTTCTAGGTGCTTTTCTCCCAAGCTGAAACACTAAGCCACCCATCTAAGGCCAGCTGTAAGTGAACTGCTCAGAGTGATCAATGTTCAAAAGGCAGCTGTACCAAGAATATCAGGTCCAAGGAAATCTGCTAAAGAGGAGACAGGGAAGAAAGAGAAGCAGCACTGCTCAGAACAGAATGGTGTCAAGCTCATCACAGAATTATATAACTGTAGAATGGTGGTTTCCAGACCCTTGAATAGAGTTTATAAGTTAACACAGCGTAACATGACAGAGCGTACACAAGGATTTCTGAAGCGAAACAAACCCAAGGCTATTTGCTACAAGCTTGTTGTCTACAGACTGTAGACAATAAATGTGTTTGCTGAGCTCTGACCAGAAACACTCATGTATGGCTGTGACAGTGTTCTTTTCGGGGTCTGATCCTGCAGGAGATCCATGTGAGTCATTGCTGATCTGTTACCATGACAACACTGACAGCCATTCAAAGATTAGAGATAAAGAGAGAGAGAGAGAGAGAGAGAGAGAGAGAGAGAGAGAGAGAGAGAGAGAGAGAGAGAGAGAGAGAGAGAGAGAGAGAGAGAGAGAGAGAGAGAGAGAGAGAGAGAGAGAGAGGGGGGGGGGAGAGAGAGAGAGAGAGAGAGAGAGAGAGAGAGAGAGATGGAGGGGGGGAGAGAGAGAGAGAGAGAGAGAGAGAGAGAGAGAGAGAGATGGAGGGGGGGGAGAGAGAGAGAGAGAGAGAGAGAGAGAGAGAGAGAGAGCGCGTGCGATGGAGAAAAAGATGGGGGAGTTGATGGGACACAGAATAGCAAGAAGAGAGAGTTGTGGGGGCAGGACAGAAGAAAGCAGGATAAAAACCCTAACAGACAGAAAGGGAAATGGATCAAATATCTTAAAAAAAAGCTTCTACACTGGCACATGAAGTGCACATAAAAAAAGAAAAACATATGAAAAAAGGAAAGGAGTTGATTATCACAAACAGAACCAGAGCTGACCGGTGACACTAAAGTCTCTCTCACCATCCAGGCCATTGTGCTGCTCATAGGTGCGCTTGCCCAGAATGGTGGGTGAGCCATTGTTGAGGATGGGGGAGGACTTGATGGGCGTCAGGCTGCCTGTGGAAATGGAGGCTCCTCGAGGGGGCTCTGGTTTAGGAGGGCATGGATGGGCCTCTAAAATTAACAAGCAGAGAAAAAGGGTCTCAATGCTAAAGGTGACATGACTATTCCCAGACCTGCACTATTTACTATTCAGTTAAAATCTGATTAAATTGGACCTGAAGCTCTGCATGTATGTTTTGTATACACTGACCACACTACAAATGCATTCCTTAATTATTCTGGGGCTCTTAAATGAAATTACAGAGCCTATGGGCTCTGTAATTTCATTTAATACGGATACATAAACGAGAATACCATACAGCTTCCTAGGCTACTTAATCCATTTCATCACATTAAGCCTTATTCTAAAGCACTGCTACAGCTTCTGACAGACACCACAATCAACAAATGCAAATTTTGGTTGTTTTGCCTGTGGCTGCTTCCTCTTCTCACCATGCTGAGCTCAACAGATCTAACCACTCTGGAACACTCCAGCCACCCCAGAATGAGTTCCAATTGCCAGGTATATTCTAAGACACTATGGCACCATGAAGAAAATATGCACCAAACATTTGAAATGAGAGAGGAAAAATGAACAAGGGAAAGAGTGCAGATGTCATTTCCACCCACCAAGATATCTAACCACAGACTCTAGAGGCTTCCGTACTGCCTGTTTCAAAGCTATGAGCTTTTTGGACATATCTGGCAACCGCACTGCGCCTATAAACACACAACAAACAGGCAGTGAAATTTCAGTGCATGTACGAAAACCCACAATATGTACAAATGGACTCAGTCAAAACAAGAGAATTGTAAATGAAGTGATTAAACTGTATCAATTACAAACTATATTTATATATATCTTAGAAGATGGTAGTGTACAGACTGTCAGTAGATCAGTAGTGACTGCCCACTCACACTCTGCTTTGATGGCTGCTGTGTTGACAGGTAGGTAGGGATGTCTGGCCAAGTAGCGGGACCTGAGCAGGTCCTGGCAGATTCGACGGGCTACTCTGGTCAGCTGAGTGGTCTGCAGGTAGAACGCCTGCCTGGTCTTCACTGCAAACTTTGGACTTCCACTGTGTCTCACCGGCAAGCCATGAGGACTCTACCAAGCAGACAGAGATTAGAGTAAGCATGACAGTCTTATAAACACACAGCGTAGCTGAAAAATTAATAAAGCAGTTATTCTGTTATGGCAAGGAATTCTAGTGTGAATGTAGCCTTATGACCTATTCGCATGGAATTAGTTTTACTTGGGGAAGTGGGGCAATGTAGATGTTTCTCAGTGATTTTAGTCCTGTCAGTCATTTTTACTTTCTGTGCACTTCCACATAAGTAAAGATTTCAGCATCTTTAACCTTCTGTAAAACAAGCAGTAAAAATAACCCTAGGGTATATTAATCCTGAGGGAATCAACATGTTGGTGGAAACGCTATGATATACATTACTGTTCTATCTCAAGTGTACAACTCAGAAAGTAAAAATTACAAAAAAAGTTTGATTTTAGGCAGCAAAGACTGTTTGCTGAGAATTCCCAAGCTAATGGTGATGATAATGGCTCAGTGCATTCACTTAAAACAAGACAAATGGTTAAGGTAATCAAAATAATGGCTAAACTATTGTTTTTTACTAGAGTGAATGCAGTGTGCAAATCGAGTAGCCACTCCCATCTCTGTCATTCATACAGAGACTTCTTATTCCATGCAAACTGGACATAAACATTATAGAAGTCCTGTGGTAAACTGCCATTGCCCCACCCCCTCGTAGAAAACTAATCCTGTCTGAATAGGGCTATAGAAGAAGTGCTTTTACCTTTCTTTGCCTTATTTATTATAACCCTATTTCTCTGTGTTTTTTGCTTTGCTTCTGAGACTTTGGGACTGTTCAGTGGCATTGAAGGTTGAAATGGTATACAGTTTTTTTGGCCAAATGGGACCCAGATCTGACACAGAGCTTATTCAGAGGTAATTTCAAGTCAGATTGTAACAACTTTCCTATGTGGTCTTAAACCTGATTTTTTTAAAAGCACATCACAGATATGTTGGAAATACACCCACCATGTTGTTGCGGTTGGGCCCAGGCCGCTCCCCATCCAACCTCGTGGGCATCTTTAGGCCCCCATACTTCTTCCAGTATGTCCAGCAGGAGGCGCACAGCCTGCACTGCATGTTGGATGGACCCCATGAGTACCACTGATACGAGCTGGTGGCTACACATGCACACAAACACAGAAACCTTTCAGTTCCTTCTCTCTTCTGCTCATCTTATCACTCAAACAAAAACAGCTTTCTAAAATTTATGCAAGCATTAGCTCTAGAGCTGTCCCCTAATCAGTGCTAGTGTTCTTGGCCGATTATCATTACCCAATTGCATTTATTTCTGTATTATTTAAATCTTATTTATATTTATTAGTGAATTATAGTAAAAACTGTAGTTATTTCTGCAAATGGAAGTGGACCATGTAGTTAAGGACCCTTATTATAAACTTAAGCATCGTTCAATTTTACTAAACATATTGTTCATGTGCATCTGTTACGCCATCCACTTAGTACTGTAGTGCGAGGCAGATGCGATACGTAAAAATCTTTCATGTGGGTACACTTCAAAATTTGCAAAGATAATTTAATTATTATACAGTCATATGCAAAAGTCTGCCCCAGTCAAATTACCGGGCAATGTTTTGTTGATTTTCTAAGTGAAAATAAGCTAACACATCCTCTACAGGGAATAAACGTAAAATATAGCAAATGTTGGTGCACAATTTATATTTATCTGCTGAGTTGCTTACTGCAAAAAAATAAAACATAAAAAATTTTCTTTTGCAGAGGCTGCATTTTTTCCACTAATATGTTAAATTTAAACAAACATGTTAAAATGTGCAGAAATTTGTTCTCTGGAGGATTTGGACTTATTTAACTTCAAAAAATAATAATAATATTAATTTGACCAGGGACACTGACATGATTATCTCTACACAGTCCTACTCTGAATATTATTTTAAACCTTGAAATAAGCTTATAAGGCATCGTCATGCTAAAATGTAACCATGCTCAAAAAGTGTAACAAAAACATTGTCAATACTGCAGCACAGCAAAATAAAAGCTTTTATCTAAGGTGTACAGCAGTGTTAAGGTCTAGAATCCAGTATTTTCTGATTGCATGTTATTTGTTTATTAGACTTTTTTCAGTGGGAAGAGTCCATAGTTTGGAACAGTCCTAATTAGTTTTTTTTCCACAGTCTTCCAATACTGAGTGAATGTTAGATGAAAGTGTATCACTGGTCTGAAGCTGGACAGACTCACTGTAGCAGCTTTCACAGGCCCGGCCCAGTCCGGCTGGCTGGCCCGTTGCCCCCGGCAACACACCGGCCCCGTTCACCAGCCCTGGCTTCACACTGTTCACGCTCAACTGGTTGGGGTTGGGCTTGTTACTGTTGGCAAAGAGCATGAGGGTCACAGAGGCCACAGGATTACACATGATCAAAGAGCAATTTACCCAAAGCTTATGATGAAATGGTTGCGAATCTAGAGGTACCCTCCAATCTGTACACAAAGACACTCACTAGTTAGGGATGTAAACCTGCTTCAGCTTGCTCTCCGCCTCTGCAGCTTTTAACCGCTTCTGTATGAGGCAGACAAGGCAGGAAATTAATTGGCAAATAATTTCTACTTTATTTTACCAGTTGTAAGCAGTTTCATAATGAACAGATTACTAAGAAACTTACCTGCTGAACATATCTGTCTGTAGTTTTCCACATGTAGTAATACTCAATTATGCTAGTCAGAGACTTCCAGGGAAGCTGAAAAAGACAGAGCGTTCAGTGTTACTTTCAACAGGAACACTTTCTTAAAGCGGAATTCTATCTATTTTTCTAAATTTCTGAATAGTTAAAATTAAGATGTAAACAAATTTAGAGTGGTTTGATGTAAAACGCTGATGTGTGCCACTCTAGTAAAACTTCGGGTTCAGCTCCAAGTCAGAATGGTTCACAGTGGTGGTGACAGGAATCAGATGTCAAAGTGTTTCATGTCTCTAAAAGCTCACTGGCTATGTTTGTAAAAGCTAAGTCTCTAAAACTTTACTGGAGGTTATTTTATTAAAATGGTCAAAAAATGCACTACTTGCTGCCCGAGACATTGCTTTGGGGATAAATTTTGGCCTAAAACATTTTTTGTACATTCATGGGGGTGTTCTAAAGCAAAATAGTACCCCAAAACATTTGTTTCTTTCCCCAAGCATTTTGGATAGTAAATAAAATGGATATATTTGCAATTTAGACATTGCCACCCCAGTTCCTATCGGCACCATTGTAAAGAATACCAGAGTTGTTTTAATGCACCACTTGGACTCTATCTGCTATCCTCTACAAGGACAAATGTTTTAAATTGAACCATGAGAAAATACACAAGCAAATTTGAAAAAACAAACAAACACTTTAGTCCTTCTTCGCCCTGGTTAAATAAGATGGCTTTACTTTTTCTGTAACAGTGTGTGTGGGTATGTTCCATGAGTGGCTCCTCCTTGTCTCTCTGGGCTGGGCTCTTTGGATTAGGTCCCTCACTATGACAATACATGTACACTAAATCACCAGCAGATGGCAGAGTTAAACATATCTAGACACACTTTACTGCAAAAGGCATTCTATTTATATTGGATTCTAATTATGATCTTTATTGCACAACTTTTAAAACTGTGTATTTTGTCTTAAGCGTTGTTTACTCGTTCTCTCTGGAGATGCTTTGCTTGTCTAAAACTCACAAAGTCTTGCTGGATGTCTGTAAAGTCTTTGCCGTATTTCTCAAGCGCTTCCTCGAACAGATTGGCCTCTGAGGCGCTCCACTCCTCCATTTCGTCTCTGCAGAGCACAGGACCACCTTGTGGCACCAGTGCTGCGATAGCCCGAGTCATGTCATAGCCATTCTTATGCAGCGTGTCCATAGCATGGAACTAGGGAGAGAGAAAAGTCCATTAAGTACACCACAGGGAATAGCAATCATCTTCATGACAGTCTCAGAGGTTCATCAAGAAAAAGCACTTTTTTTTGTTTAATCACAGTAGGTCTGAAAAATTACTTTCAGTGAAGCTGTGAGTGTATTACAATAGCACTTTCCAAGTATATTCAAAGCACAGACAGCCCTCGCTTGATAAAAATGTATATGAAGACTTGCGATTCGAACAATCAGAGCATACAACAGGAAGATCTGAACTTAGTCAGTGGAATTATAGCACAAGCAACCAGGAATGTTTGAGGGTTAAGGAAGCACAGTACTGCTCTGCAATTAACTAAATGTACAGACCAAAATCAAGATTCCAATTAAAATGCAATCAATTATGCAACATTTGCATCAAGCCAAAGGACATCACAAATGAAAGATCACACGGATCACCACTTATTCAATAATACTAAGACATAATAATTATACTTTTCCCCAAGACTTAAAAGAACTAAAAGAAGTCATGCATTTGTCAGGTGAGGCACTTCTGTGTCATACAATGAGGGCATCAGTGATCCTCTGGCAAAAGGGCCTTTCCCTCATTTATCAAACTACACCTTGTCTATTCAGCACAGAACTCAATTTATTTCCACAAAATTAATTATGTCCAAATAACAAGCCAACCAAAGTAGTAGTACAGTACTGCTCAAATTTTGTACATACAAAAATGCCATTTTGCATCAGCTACCCCTACATAGACAAAAGCAGTCTGTGTGTCTCAGTGGTTCAGAGTGTGTTTATGCATGTGTGCAGTGCCCTCTGGCTCTGGTGCTATATGTTTTATAAATGAGGGGCAGAGTCAAGCAGAAGGTGGTTGTGGTTGAACATCGTTCCTACTCTCTTCTATTCTGACTCCACTGTGGCCCAAAGGCAAAATGAGGCCTGTAACCTGCTTCTACTCAGCCCAAAACAAAATTTGATTCTAGCTTTCTATGAGACTTTGGCTGGTTAGACACAACTCCTGAAAGGCTTTTTTTATGAAGCAGGTGAACATAAGAGCCATATCAATGTAAAAATATATAGATCTTTGTCCAAATAGTGTAAGTCAGCACACAGAGCACACTATTTGGTGATATTAAATCAAAATTCGAATAAAATTTATATGGCAGCCAGCCCTTAAATTGTTAGATATGTTACATGAGCTGCAAATATAACTTGGGGTAAAAGACAAAAATGCTTTCTTGCCCCTTAATGCACAAGCACAAAATAACATGTTATCAATGCAATAAATCAATACAGATAACCTTATAAATGTCATAACTCCATGTGAACGTCAATATTGCACTAAACACAGCAGACACCTGTGTTCAATCCTCCTTTCCACATCAGACATCATTTAACCAGTCAATTCGGTTCATTTCCAATTTATTTGTATAGCACTTTTTACAACCAGCATTGTCACAAAGCAGCTTTATAGAAATGTGGGTCCAAGCTCGTAGACAAAAAGCTAAGTGCGACTGTGGCAAGGAAAAACTTCCTAAGAGCAAAAGTAAGAAACTTTGAGAGGAACCAGGACTTAAAATTGCAAAACAATGCCAAAAGAACTACCACACAAGTTAAGAGAATAACGAATAAGAAATGACTAAAGAATACACTATTGTGAATAAAGAATAATAAAGAAATTAAATCTACTCATTCAATAAACTGCTTAATTTGTACATGTTCTGTTGTTGAAAGATTTAAGATTAAGTTAATACGATATTTTGTATATTTTGCCAAAAGTAACTTAATTTAAAATGTCTCTGAATCTTAATCAGTGAGGGCAAAATTGCCCCTTAAAATATGTTTTCCTACCATGCCTTTTGTGAATAAAAATCATTAGAATGTAAATTCCTCTTAACACTCATACTGCTACACAGCATTATGACTAATTCTGCATGGTCAATCAGCAAAGCACAAGAGAATATTACAGCATATTTTTATGAGCCAGACCAAAGTGTGAAGTAGTTCTGAAGCAGGATGTAGTGTGTAGTGAATGTAGGTGGTGCCGTACCAGTGTGATGTCTCTGGAGGCTGCTGCAGCGCTCATGTGCAGACTGGGCTGCCGAACTGAACTACTGCAGTCCAGAGCCCGCGCAAATGTACCCACGGACCTGCGGGAGGAAGGAAAAAGAAAGAGATGAAAAAGAAAAATGAAAACAGAAAAAACAGACAGCAGGAAAGATAGAAAGAACGAAAGAAAGAAAGACCACAACAGACAGATCACATGAAAATAAATAAATAAATGAGTGGTGCAAGTCGCTTTGAGTTGTACAAGAAACAGCAGCTCACTGTTCACACATCAATAGCTCCACAGTCAACATACATGAGCCTTGAATACCCTTAACTGATTACTGAGTTGGTCCTCCTGCCTGAAGGCAAAAACATCAATGGAGCAAAACCCTTAGAACTTGCGGCGCTTACCGAGCAACTACGAGGAACTGGTCAATCTGTTTCTCTGTGACAGGACTACTGGGGTCCCACACTTTCTCCTCCAGTTTGGCCTGCTCCCTGCCATCATCCTCACCTGATTAACCAAGAGGCACAAACACAGCAGAGAGGTGAAGAACACAACTGGAGATCAAGATCACCTTCCCACACTGCTACTAAACCGAACTCTACATGGAGTCCAACCACTATAAGATGGAGTTCAAGCTGTTCATCTCCACCATATGAGATTCATCCATGTCTACCAAATGACTGCATAAACTAACCAACAGAAATTTCTGGGATTGAAAATAGCAGGGGTATGGCTGTATGCACCTTTCAGAAAGCGGATAATACCATGTTACAAGGGTACAGATTAGAGGTGGCACCAATCCAATACCCAGTATCAGAATTGGGCTGATACCAGCACAAAATATCACAGAATTACTTGTAGCGTAACTTAATGTAGGGCAAAGTACAGTAGGTTACATGATAACAGGGGTCACAAGTAGCCTAATGTAAACATTAGGGCATTAAATAGCTTGATAAGCATTATACTTGAGTATAGCAGTATAATACTGCACACATTAAAGAGTGAGAAATTGACTGAATTAAAATAAATGAATAAATATATACATAAATAAAAAAAAATCATGCCTTTAGCTATGTAATCGAACACTAGTGGTATCAGCTACTAAACATGGTTTTAGTATCCAAAAGAGTGACACACTGCCACATAGCGCAGAGAGAAAGGTCAGTGGTACAGTGGTACAGTGTAGGCCGACAACTATCAAGGATTTCCATAATCAATCAGTTCATTATGGCTTCAATTAATCGAGCGGCCAGTAGTCTGTCAATAACTAAACATTTCACATCATACACAACATTTCTTTTAACAAATTAAAACACAGATTATTCCTCTATTTGCAGAATGTTTTTTCAAAAATAAAACACCCACCCTATCTCCTAAATAAGACTTTTACCAAAATCAACAGCACCACAAAATGTCTGCTGCACAGCCCTTTTTTTTTTTACTGTGTGAAAGGTGCAGAACAAACCCATGAACAACTATTACATGGCTGTTGAAGTCTGATTGTACAACAACTTGCTATTTGAATTATTTCTACTCTAATGTTAAAGAAAAGATAAATTCATTAGTCTGTGCGCTCAGTAACATCACATAATCAAACCTGATATTGCCAAGCACACAGAAGCTGCCCGATTGTCAGTCATGGCGGTCATGCAGGGCCATACGGCATGTACATCATTTCTGGACAGCAAGAACTATGCACAAGATGTCAGCATTTTCTAAAACATCTGTCCACATGAAAACAGAGAAAACTGAGTTTTTAGAGAGAACAAACAGGTATGTGTGCATTAGCAAGCTAGCAACAAAGGAGCATAATTTAGCCATTCAGTTTAGACGGAAATGCAGCTCATACTTTGCTAAATCAAGGCAGAGCTAAAAGTAGACAATGCCACACTTTACTTTTGACTACAATTTTACTGTGGTTTACTCACTATGCTAAGCTTCTGTCAGTTCCCCCTGCAAATGAGTTTTCTAAAGATTGTCAGACGACAGTCATGCTACCATCAAAGGTAAGCTCAGATTTTCACATCTTACAGGACATAGTCCTTTTAGAAGATTTCAAACTGCAGTGTTCCCATATTTATGACATTTTTAGCCATGCCTAACTCTGTACTGTAATCTCCAACATCTGTCCAATCTCTCATTCAAGTGATGTAAATGGGGAGCACAAACAGTATCATGGCAATCAATTGATAAGTTTTGTTGCCAATGATTTTATCATCAATAATTTTGATTAGTAGCTGCCCTACTACAGTGGTGGTATGTTTTAAGTATGACCGATTTCGAACATGTAGCCGATGTGGAAGTCCATCAGTAATTTGCTGGGGCTGTACCGAGGCAGTTCAAAATCAGACCTACCCTCTTTGAGAAGGTCGGTAATTTCTGCCTGGTACTTAGTCCCCACTCTGATCTCCCCTTTATCAGCCAAGAGAGTCTTCTGCTGAGGGTCGTACACCAGTGAGTAGAAAAATGCATCCTGCAGGCAAAGAACAACATAAACAAAGAACAAGTCAGAGACACAGATGCAAACAAAAACACAGCCTCATATACTGAGAGAGGGCTGTGTGTGTGTGTTTGGCATGACATTGAGTGGAGTCTCCAGTCTCCTCATTACTAAATGCGAAGAGAACATTCTGGGTCAACACACTGAATTATTCATTCAGAATGGAGCTCAAAACTACACACGTCAGATAAACACATTCTTCATCTCTAGCTTGTATAGGCAAAATACACACTCATACAGAGCACTAGGACGAAAGAGCCTCCGGACTGTAGCAGCACTGTATTTCACACAATACACACACCACATCACACTCACCTCTCTGTCCAGGTAAGACTTGAGGGTTTCTGTCTCGTTGAGAAGTGTCACACAGCACTTTCCCCTGAAAACAGTCATACAACACACACATTAATTAACAATGACCATGTCGACATCCACAGCATCAAACCTTACTCACAGTTAAATGGCAATACACATTTGGCTTTGGTGGCTTGCAGCATTGCCAATTTTTGATAACCTGGGCAAGAGAGGTCTTTCACAATATCAAAGCTCATGAGGATACAACAGAAAGGTGTAATAGTAATGAACTCTGAGAGGCTTTAACACCAGAACACAATCATTTTTCTTAAAGCCGGAGAACTATATTTATTATAGATGCACCAATATAGAATTTCTGGGGTGATAATTACAGGTAACTGGTAAGACCTTATTGTGACCGATACAGATATCAATAACAATTTTTTTATGCAAGTTTACACTACAGCTTTCCACATAATTCAAACACTTGAGCATTATTTGTATTTGTTTATTTAGTATTCGGAAGCTTTGTCTTTTTTAAAGCAACAATTGTAGTCTAAAGTAAATCTCATCAGCAAAGGTCTTTACATAGAACAATGACTGATTTACATATATGGATAGTATATAAATACTGTAAATTACAGCTGGTTTAGCTTAGAATACAGTCTAAATTCTTGCCAGACATTGATGCCACCTCACCTCATAGCACAACAAGCTGCACCACTTTCCATGTGGCCACTGAAGCTAGGAGACTAAAAATGCCCAAGAAATCATGTCAGGGAGCACTTTAAGAGTTAGGTATACCATGGAGGTGCAATTTTGATGGATCATCTCAAGTAAGTAAGTACAGTGATCCTAATCCAAATACCATAGCCTCCATCACAGTAACCACTTACTAAATATTAACCAGTCTTTTTCATTTTAAATTTACCAGTTTTACAGCTGATTCAAAACTTCACAGCGTAAAATGCAAAGATAGGGTTTCCTTCCCTGTTCCCTGGAAATATACACCTGAACAATATATCAACATGTATGTAAATAAATAAATGAATGAATGAATGAATGAATGAATAGCCCACACTTAATAAAAATAGGCCTATCTCTGAGAATGCTCTTTTAGTTGTTTTCAACAACAATAACAGTCTGATTAAAATAGTGTACAAAACCAAGTGCTAGCCGTGCCCCTCCCAGGGGCAGGTATATGAGGAGGTATAATTTCGGCAGGTTACCGCATTACCAAAATTCTACTCCCCCCGATAAAATCCTCCCAGTTGAACTTAAGACAGTTATGCTTTACATGGTATAACCTACACACCAAGATAAGCCACCAGACTAAGTTTGATTTGAATCACACCTTGTACCCCAGAGATAAGGGGTAGTATGAATTCAGCAGGTGATTAAATACCCCCCTTACTATGTAAAATCTACAGACATTTCATCCTAAATGAATCTTAAAAATGACTGCCATTTTTAATCACAACACCAAACTTACTTACGCACTACAGTGTACGTGTGTTTATAACCCAGTTCATTAAGCACTCTAGATTTGAGCTAGATATCTTCGCTAATTAAAGATAAGAAAATTTGTTCAATATGGCATTTCCAAAATCTCATTAAAAGACAAATGAAAGTCACACTGCCCAATAATGAAGAGAAAAAAGTAATTCTGCAACATCATGTGGTCATATGTGAACTTTATATATACACGTTATAGTGTGTTACTCCATACTTGAGAATGAATATTGTTTAGTGTTCTCATAATACTTATTGCTATAACTGAAAAGCATTCGATTCACAGCTTTTAGTTAATTACATTAAAATACCACTGTGGTTCTGTTGTGCTGTTTGCTGTAAAGCAATATTAAAGACCATAATTTACACATGGAAGCAACCAAAATCGCTAGTGTAATCTGTAGCATCCATATGCCTGTGTGACGTGCACACACGTGAAGAGGTGTCGGATTCTGCCAGTTTGCACACAAAGGGAGCATCAGAGAGAAGAGATGCAAACACTGGCACGGCATTACAGAAGAAACTGATTATGTAGGCTATTATAATGCACCACCAAATTGTATTGATTCAAATGGTATTGTCTCATTCCGTATCTCATTTGAAAATATCTCAATATAGAGTAAAAAGTCAATACAACACCCAGCTCTAATTTAAAGCCTATAAAATGAAGAACTCTAAAAGTTTGCAGTCTTGCCTTCAGACTATTACTGACACAGCATTGGTATGCCTGCCTGGACAGGGACTTCCAGTCTTCCACGTGTGGGAGGGCTGTGGTGTTTTCCACTATGCTCTAAATCAGTGAGTCTGAGAAGAATGGAAGGACTGGCACCAAGTGATATGTGGTAATTACCAGGTGTAATTCCAAACTGGCTGGAAAATAACTACATTACAATATTTACATGTTCCTATTTATTAGTGAATAAGACATATTCCATGACTATCATGAACCATTCGTGTTTGTGATATGCTGAAAACAATCTGAAAATATCTCTGTGAAGTGTCTGAGTCAGCAAGGGCGGTCAAACTACACAGACTATAGAATCTAATTCCAGGATCATTCTTCAGCACGACAGTCTAAGATCTCACTAGAGATCTGACCCCATCATTGTCGGATATGTCATTTCACACCGCAACGCTGTTTACACTGGAGAATCCTGACAGCGACTTCTGACATGTTGGAAAATAATAATGTCTCAGACACATCAGCTGCTTGCAAAAGCCAACTGTGGAGTCTTTCACACACTTGCAGTGCAAAACCTCAGCTGTGACAGCAAATTTCACCACAATTATAAGAACTCATCCGAGATGGCACGGACACAGTGAGGTCGAAGTGTGTTTTAGTGTTTTTACCTGATATGTGTAGCAGGCAGAGACTCCAGCTGTCTGGACAGGAAGAGCTCTCTGTGTCTCAACTGATGTTTCTGTTTCTCCGGCAGGTCCGCCATCTCGGGGTTCTCCATCTCCTCCTCCAGCTCTCCTGAGGGTTAAAAGTCAAGTACAGCTTCTGTAAGCCACCAACAGATGCGTATTGATGGAAGACGTATGACCACAAGCTCTTCCACTCTATAACAGCAGCTGTAAGACAGCAGCAATTAGCCCTCAGAAGTGTACAATTATTTCATTTTGCTAAAGTATTGAATTGTAATTACTTAATTACAAAGTTACATATGTCCTCTTCTACTTACAACCCAAACATTACATATTATGCAGTATTAAACATTATATTATATAGTGGTGTTAAAAAAATATACATAAAAAAGGGAAAAAAATTAGACCATATAAACTTAAGTGCCACCCCCTCATTCAATTCACACATGAGTACTTCATCTCTGCTCTTCAGTATTCTCCTTTTTAGAGGCACAGAGAGAAAATATCACTCTTACTCAGTCCTACATGTATGTAGTGTATGGAGTGAGGGTGCTGAGTGGAGAATGATAAGTGGGAGAGAGATTGAGGAGCAGGAGGGAGAGCGGGGGAGAGGAAAAGAGAGACAGAGAGAAACGGGCAAGCGTGCTCCAATTCATTTGGAGTTTCATTAGAGGAGAGAGAAAGTGAGAGAGAGCAAGAGGAGGGAGAGAGAGCAAGAGAAGAGAAGAACAAAAGCAATCAAGGGATTTTCAGGGCGGGAAAAAAAAAGGTGTGCCTAAAATCAATACATACTCCCTCCTCTTCTTCACTCCAGCATTCTGAGCACACACTACACACTCTCTGTTTTTCTTATCTTCAATTTTATCTTCTTTTGCAAGAAACACACACATACACACCACTCCACACAGAAATATAACACAAAACTCATAACTCAGCAGCCACTCCATACAGTACATAAGTAACTGGTTTATTATAGCTCTATCTGAAGTATTGACATCCACTATACACGAGTATAAAGTGAGAAAGCAAGAGCATGAGAGGGAAAGACTGAATGGAGCAACACAGACAGTGGTGGGGCGAGAAGCAGACCCCTATGGCTATGAATGGCCCACTGCGTCCTTGAGAGAGCCAGCGAGATAAAGCAAAACTCGCTCACCTATAGCCTCAGTCCTGAGAGAAGGAGAGAGAGAGAGAGAGAGAGAGAGAAAAAGAGACAGACCGAGAGAGAGAGAGAGAGATAGAAAGACAGACAGACCGAGAGAGAGAGAGAGAGATATAGAAAGACAGACAGACCGAGAGGGGGAGAGAGAGAGAGAGAGAGAGACAGACCGAGAGAGAGATAGAAAGAGAGACATAGAAAGAGAGACAGACAGAGAGAGAGAGAGAGAGAGAGAGAGAGAGAGAGAGAGAGAGAGACAGACAGAGACAGAGAGATAGAAAGAGAGACAGACCGAGAGAGAGAGAGAGAGAGAGAGAGACAGAGAGATAGAAAGAGAGACAGACCAAGAGATAGAAAGAGAGACAGACCGAGAGAGAGAGAGAGAGAGACAGAGAGATAGAAAGAGAGACAGACCGAGAGAGAGAGAGAGAGAGTGACAGGGAGACAGGGGGAGAGAGAGAGAGAGAGAGAGAGAGAGAGAGAGAGAGAGACAGAGAGATAGAAAGAGAGACAGACCGAGAGAGAGAGAGAGAGAGAGAGACAGGGAGAGACAGGGGGAGAGAGAGAGAGAGAGAGAGAGAGAGAGAGAGAGAGAGAGAGAGAGAGAGAGACAGAGAGATAGAAAGAGAGACAGACCGAGAGAGAGAGAGAGAGAAAGAAAGAAAGAGAGAAAGAAAGAGAGACAGAGAGAAAGAAAGAGAGACAGACCGAGAGAGAGAGAGAGAGAGAGTGACAGGGAGACAGGGGGAGAGAGAGAGAGAGAGAGAGAGAGAGACAGAGAGACAGAGAGAGAGAGAGAGAGAGAGAGAGAGAGAGAGAGAGAGAGAGAGAGAGAGAGAGAGAGAGAGAGAGAGAGAGAGAGAAAGAAAGAAAGAAAGAAAGAAAGAAAGAAAGAAAGAGAGAGAGAATGAACAGAACACCGCAGCCAGTCTACTGGCACTGCACCCAGCCTATACTCTCCACAAATTGCCTCTCCATCTCACCTGTCCCAAGCAATTATCAATTATTGATGAATGAGTCGCCTTACCATGCAGAGAGCAGAGGAAGAAGAGAAGAGGAGAGGAACAGGGACCTGCCCCCTGACTCCAAAGGGAGGAGTGTAAACCCATGTGTAAAAAAGCACACTACGAAATTGGTCATTTATAGACGGTTTCCATCCTTGGGCCACTGCACTGAGCCCATACACATCCAACACACTAGCAACTTTATTTAGTTATTCAAACTGTTTAGGAGTGTCACACTCTGACCTTTAACATAGCACTAAGATGCATGTCAGTGTACTAGTAAACAACAATACTGATTGATATATAACTAGCATCATATTTACAATAACGATTAGTAACATTCCTGTTTCCATGGATCAATGTTTGTCATTTGCTGGTTGCTTCAGATTTTTTATTTATTTATTTTTTGAAAGAACGGTTTTAGACATAGGAAAAACGCGAAATATTTTTTTTCTGGAAATTTGTTTTCTATGTGGTTTACTTTACACAGTATTGTAAATGTTCCCTTTGGCATAACTTCAAAAGAAGAAAACAGAACAAAGCAGTCAAATCAAACAAGCCATGTCAGGCTTGTATTCTTTTAGCATAGAGTTGTGTAACTCCAGAAGCATGTCTTCATTAACTTTATTAATGCAAACCTTAATACAAACAAAAACTGCAATATTATGATATAACTGTAAAATACTGTCAAGCTGAATTTTATCAGCATTGATCAGCACTACCTTGAAGCATGACAGCACTGCATTAGCCTGTTCTAACACATGCAACTCTGCTCACGAGGGGCTCGGTAATTAGCTGATGAGTTGAATCAGGTGTACCACATTAGAGAGAACACTAAATGCTGCAGTGGTGCAATCCGAGAACAGCCCTATGCACTTCTGAGATAGTCTGACACTACACTTTCACATATGGCTTCCCTCTTACATTCACACAGCGTCACAGTCTAGATGGCAAACAGCATTCAGCTAAATAAAGCTGCTTGAATTGTCAACCTAAAGTCAAATTTGACATTTTTAATGTTTAATTAGTTCATATGCCTGGTCATATTAAGCACAATTCTTTATATTCCATCATTTAAAACAATGGTTTTCAACCCGGTGCTCAGGGACCCCAGATGGTCCACATTTGTGCTCTATTCCTATGCATTGCAAGTTAGACTGGAGCAAAAATTAAGCACCTATGGGCCCCTGAATAACAGTAAACGACTGATTTAAAAGGTAAAAATCTTGGTCAAAGTCTAGTGACTTTTTTCTCGCTTTTAAAAGGTTTTCTGAGTGTATATTACATCACCATGCACCAGCATACGGAAATACGTCAGAATATGGAAGGAAAAAGCGTTATGATGTCTGATTCACGTTAAGTGTGGAATGAAAGGACTGAAAACAGCACTGAACTTAATTCTAGTTTATAGTGTTCCTGTGGGACATCCTGTTTATTTGCCTGTATTATTTCAAAGTGTGCCAAATCACGATGAGTTGTTGAGTAATCTTAAATAGTCTACTTGTGGTTTCTGACATTGTCTGACCACTATCTAACAGGAGTGGACAAAAATGTTAGAGCAGTAGTAGAACTCTCAATTTTGGCCATACCTTTGTCCATTTTAATAAAATAAAAACCAATACACAGTCTCAGAATTTAGCAAATCTACATGAGTTTACTTAATTTTGTGGAGTTTGAAGTTGGTGAATTATGCATGCAGTTTGCAAAATACACAGGCATCTATAAGCTTCCACTACTTATTGGCTGTGTTAGTCTAGATACTTCAGTGCAAAACTAAAAAAGCAAACTTAAGATGCAAAAAATGTCTTGGCTAAATGTTTACATTTGGGGAAAGGAGATTGATTTTTGGCTGAACTATCGCTTTAAGACACTACACTCAGAAGACTCATTCTGAAAGTCTTGAGATGTTCAGTGACTCAGAGTTGTTCCTCCTTGAACTGAGAGGTCAAGCTAGAGCCTGAGCATAAAGTGCAAGCTACGCTCAGGCAGGGTGAGGGAGGAGGCTACAGGGAGTGGTCAGTTCAGTCCAAGGCCAAGTCCCTCTCCTTCTCTGCCTCTGCACACGTGAAAACATGGCTGCTGCACAGCTCCCAAAGCTTCGGGCCTCGGCAAGGAGGAGCCAGCATCACAGAGAACAAAATATTTAATCTGTGACTCACCACAGACACACACATGCAAGTGTGTGTGTGCACGTACACTTACACACAAACACACACACACACACACAGCTGAGTGACTCCACGAGCAAGCTTTGACACAGGACAGAGGAAAGTTTATGCCAAACAACCTCAGCCTGGCTGAGTCAGTGAGGGTCAAGTGGCTCCAGAAAAATGACCCATTGGTTCCAGCTCTTATATGAAGACACATTTGAAATACTTCAATCCAACTTTTTCCTTTCTCAATACTGATAACAATATATAAAATTAGGTACCGACCGATACCAAATACTGATCCGATACCAGTGCTCTGTTAAGGTACTTGATTTTCAAAGTAGCAAAGTGCTTTTTCTTATAATGTGGAACATAAACATTGAGCCTAACCTATTAACCATATTTTTCAAGGTGTCCTCAATTTCTTCATATTACTATTAGTCTAGGCCAGGAATGGGAAGCTGATGGGCCAGAGTCCAGCACATTTTGGTGACTCCCCTGCTGTAACACAGTTGGGTTAAACTGGAACTTCAAAAGCCCATAACCTGAGGCTCCATCTCAAAGTTCTTTAAAGGAGCAATATGTAAGATGATGGAACCTGTCAAATTCACACTCCACATAGTGCCTCCTCCTCTCTCTTTACTCCTCCCCCTGTTTACTTAGCAGTCTGAAGAAATGCTGCAGGTTCAGCATCAAACATCATCCCTGTACTTGCCAAGAACTGTCTGCAGTGGTGGAAAGCAACGCCTAAGTTAACTTTTATTTTACTTCGATTTACGTCACTTCTTCTCCTTGTGGTTTCTTGCCAGGATTGGGTGTGCTACTTCTTCATACTCTCATGTTGGTCTGATGATGACTCGACGGTACAGTGCCTCACTATCACCTCTTGAGGTACAAAGCAGTACTAAAAAGATAAGATGGACTAGGGCTAGATGGTTAGCATCCTAACTTCAGTAGACATCTCTGCAACATGACACAGACATGGCTGACATAACATCAACACTGTTATTTGACGTACACTGCATTTTGCAATGACTTCCATTTTAGAGCGACTTTTACTAAAAAACAATATCAATAGTAGATCAGTCAAACCTGAATGGTCAGTATCAGTGCTGATATCGGTCTTGTGTATTGGATCAGTGAACCACAGTGAAAATACACAATTCTCTAATTCACAAGGACAAATCAGACCAAAGAGAAAGAGCTACAGAGACAGTACACATACACATGAACGTGTGCTGTGGCAAATGGAGTAAAGAAAAAAGGCTAAATAAAAATTTATACAGTTTTATACAGTTTGTCTGACATCTGATGCATCCTATTATCAGTTTTGGTGATCCAGTATATTGGATCTGTGCATCACTAGTTCAAATTCAGCCTCTTATCTTCACGATTCTTTTTTTTTTTCCATGACTTTTCTTCGTGACTCGCCTTCCCTTTCTGCTACACGTCTTCACATTCTGTTTTTGCTTCTCCCCTCCTCTTTTCTCCTTTTCCTTTTCTCTCTACTTTTCTCCTTTCCTCTCCAAAGCACAGTCAGGATGTAGCCCACACCCATGCGGTCCATAGCCATTCCTGCCATGCATTTTTCACATATTGCAAATGTCTGAAAGTCCATAGAGGGACTACTGGCACTGCAGAGGCCCACAATCCACGAACTAACACATACACACACACACACACACAAAGCAGTGTACAACCCCAACACCACTACCACACATACCACGTTCCTCCTAACTGCTTCTGTGTGGTCCACATGAACAAACAGCTCCACCGCCTCAGGATTAGACTAGTGGGCAGCGTGGGCCACAGATGAACCGCTCATATATGCACATTTCACATTTCTCTTTCAGACACAAGCACATCTCTTCTACATTCAAGCACTGACACACTGCTTTCACACCAGTGCTGCTGACAGCCGCTCACACCATGCCTAACCCCCACACGTATGAACCACACGCTAGAACACTCGCTGACACGATTTTATGGCAGCCATTTTGGAGACGGGCCCTGCTTACAGCAGGAAAGACTGGATATTCTCAACCGGCTCGCAGCTCCAACTGTATAAGTACAACAGATACTCCACACCGTGCAAGTAGTCACACCAGATTTGACTAAACTCCTCATCAACTAAATAGAGATACAAAGTTACGTACCAACAGGTTTAAAGAAAAATGGTAACTGCCGGCACAAAATGGAAATGATATACTCAATTATAAAACTTCTCCTTCAAAAACAATGACATGAATTAACTGTAATGTAATATTCAAGATATATTGCATTCTACATCAAAATTGTATTTAGAAATTTTTAAAAATGTCAGCACATTTGAAGTGATGTAATTTAGAGACTTGGATAACAAGGCCGAAAATAATAGGGAGACGAGAGTAAATACACCCCCCCCCACCATTACCGATTCCAGTTCCCAAACTTCAGGATATCTATTGATACTGAGTACAGAGTTCAGATTTTTTTTTTCTTCAATTTAAAATTTCATTCACTATGCAGTTACAACTGAAGAGTTCACTCCAAAATATGATACATCTGCTAAATTTTGGTAATTAAGGATTTTTAAAATGAGGCACACTAAACAAGTATTTCATATTCAAGAACACTCTTCTATTCTTCTAACTTATTTTAGGATTATGAAGTCCAGTTGATCATTTCACACATCTGTACTATCACCTTACATCAAAATCAACCAAAACCTGAAATGTGAATTAAAATGTTTAGACTACAGTAGGAGTGCAACAATTATTTGACTTAGTCGACTAAAATTGACGAGCAAATTAGTTGGCAACTAATTTATTAGTTGATTAGTTGGTGACATCACGTGTTCCTTGTGCTGACTAGGAATGTTTTGACATTACCGCTTACTGGAGAGTTGACAAAAGTGCAATGTCAGCCTCAAGAACAAAATCCTGAAAAGTGTGGGAGCATTTCATGCTCAACTCAGAAAAGAAGGCAGTCAGTTGTGCTATTTGTAAAGCCAACCTTAGCTGGCAAGGGAGCACATCCTCCATGTCGGAGCGTCTGAGACTGAAACACGACAGCTCACTTAAACATTCACTGCGGTAAGTTAGCTATGCTAGCTAGTTAGCTAATGTTAACACTAAAAGCCGTCTTACTTCATGTTATGAGCATGCTGTCTGGAATCGTTAATACTGTTGGAACAGAGAAGCAAGTAACTATTATTCACAGCAACCCTGTTCACTTTCCTAATAACGTTTACAGTTTAAAACATTGCACCATTGTCTTAACATTGAGACTGCCAGCGCGTTCAAATTCAATCAAAATAGGAGAATGTTTGTGAAGTTTTCTGTTTTCTGCGAACATTTGTGAACGCTCGCAAACAGTTTCTACGCGAACACACAGGGGAGCTGGACAAAGGTTTGTTGTTGAAATGAAATGTTTACACAAAAGCATTCAAATTTAACTGTTCATAGAAAACAAGTTTGCCACAAACATTCGCCACTTTCCCATCCGCTCCATCAGAGCGCATCTTCTCTGCAGCTGGGAATATCTGCTCTCAGAAGATAGCAAGCCTTTCACACGAGCCCGCAGAGATGCTGACTTTCCTCTGTTTCAATAAAGGCCTGTGATTGTAGAATTTAGTTGTAACAGACTGTTGACAGACAGCAGAATGTTACTGTTTAGACTGAGTTTTTAATTTACTCAATTAAAGAAAAACAGATTTAGTTTTATTCTATTGCTACTACTTTGCACATCCTTGGTTTTCAATTTTGACAGGAAAAAGATGTTTTATCTTTTGTATTAGCAGGAAAGTTCATTAAAGTATTGCATTTTTTAAAAGGTTATTCATCTTCATTGTCTTCATTGTTAGTTAACAAATGCATAACAGTCTCAAGCTAAATTTAAAAGCTAATAGCTACATAAGAATAGATAGATTGAGCTATTTGTAATCCGAATACTGGATTATTCGTTTCAATAATTGATAGATTATTCGACAATGAAATTAGTCGTTTGTTGCAGCCCTAGACTACAGTAAATTGATAAAACATGGAAGTCTGGAATCGTTACTTGCTGACCTGGTGTGAAGCACAGCAGAATTAGAACTTTGCTAAAAGGGGCTTTTATTTTGACATGCTGCAGCACTTGAGAAACACATGATTCATTTCACATTCGCAGAGAAATGCTCCATCAATCTCTCACAAACAATCTTTCCTGTAATGTGCCCATTCATAATTATTAGCTGTATATTAGTGTAACAAAAAAGTGAGAACTTGATGTACATTGCATTTTGCAATGACCAAAGAGAAAGAGCTACAGAAAACAGTACACATACACATGAATGCGTGTTGTGGCAAACGGAGTAAACCGTAAAAGACAAAAGGCATAATTTAAATTAAAATTATGTATAAATCATTATCCAAAGTCAAAATTTAAAAATGTTTCATTTGTTTGTTCTTTCTTGATTCTTTGCTACAATTGCTTAAACCCATTTTGAAAGCTCCTTTACTGAAACTGTATATTTGTGTTGCCACTGACTGAGTCTCCACTACCTCTATGAACTGTGGGGACTGTAGTCTTCCGCACTTCTGATACTTACGTGCGTGTTTGTCTGCCAAGGCGATAAGTGTGGCGGAGATGTCTCTGCGTCTGTAGAAACACACCACTTTGGCCTCCACGTTCCCATTTGCTGTCTGCAAATAAGAGAAGTTGTCAAAGCAACAGCATAAGCTGGCTACCACTCAGCTTTAGGCCAATGCCAAATATGCGGATGAGGACAGCGTCAGAACCACAAACGTAAAACTCTCTGCCGTTCCTGACTGAAACGAGGCAGGCTCAATGCCACTAGTGATGGAACGAAGACCATTAAGGTGAGTGGGGTGGAATATGGAGAGAAAGGGATAAAAGGTGGAAGAATAAAAGCTGGAACACTGTTGCTGGCAATGTTCGAGATAGAGATAGGTAGAATGCATGATGCACAAAGCACTGGGCAAATGCTCAGAATAAAGTTTGGCAACTCTCTTTTGCGAGCACACACACACAAATTTTCACCACTCACCTTGTTGAGTTCCTCTATTCTCCTGATCAGCAGTGGGTTACTGGAAGAATTTTCAAAGTAAACATAATCTGTGGGGATAGAAAGAGAGCAGTCATCAATGACAGCTCACAGACATCTCACAAGATCCAGGCAATTTCTCCTGCTGAGAGCTGCAAGCCATTTTCTATGAGAGACATGGATTCTACAAACTCTTTACAGTTATCAATATAATGGCAGCATTGGCCTGTACTACCTAGTAGTGAAAAACTAAACTTACCACTACTGCTATGAATTAAGTTCAGATCCTAGCTGTGCAACATGCTATCTACAAGCATCAACTGTCAAGATGGCCACTGGCTGCTTCCTGATTAAAAAATAGTTTAGCCAAGTTGTGCTCCTTCCCAATTATAAGTGACTTTAAAACATTCAGCAATGTGTGGACACTGTACAGCGATTCAAAAGATGTGCTTTGTCCCTTCAAATACATCAAAGCACTTTCTACATAGACGCAGGGATGTCCAATCTTATCCACAAAGGGCTGGTGTGGTATTAATTCCAAGGAGTAGCACACCTGATTTGTTTCAGTTTTTATACCATATAGGTCTACTACAATGGAAATGCCTACAGGTACCTATAGCTAAACACAGGTGAATGAACAACAAGGAAAAAATATTAACAAAATAAACAAATATATTAAATCCTGACCACTCAGATACCCAGAACATCTGATCTGCGATATCTGAACCACTAGGATCCACATGGAGCCCATTTTATTCATATGCCATGTTCTCTCCCATTCCTCTATTGATCCTTATTCTTATTCCTGCTCCCCTTTCCCCTCGTCTCTGAGCGTGTGTGCATGCCCTTGGCCTTGCTCCAGGCCGTGTGGGCTGTGTTCAGGCTTATGGCTCAGTGGGACGTCCCTGCAGGCCTCAGGCTTGGTGGGGTGCCTGGTCTTAACCCTGCATGCGCCAGGGCCTCTGGCAGATTACACCCCACACATGGTGGGCTGCATGCATACACACATGCGTGTGCACACCTCTCAGGAGTAATCCTCACCCCCTGAGAGAGAAAGAGGAGTCCGGGGACGGAGCCAAAAACACATATCCAAACACACTGTCTGTTCTGATCAGTCTTTTCGTGCATCCAGTGAGAAAGATCCTCAATCAGGCACATTATTGTGTGAACAAGAATGTAACTGGGCTCCATACAGGAAGTTATGGTCCACTCTTAGAGTTCCAAATCAATCAGGTAACTGAAGCATTAGAAGTCTCAGTTTAGTTAGTGCTCTCCATTGAAAACATCACCAACCACATGGGATGCTCCACAAACATGCAGTTAGTGGAGCAGGCCCCTTGTAGTGCCGTGTTCGAAATATTAATACGGGTACACAAATCTACAGAGTGATAAGTGTATCAGTATTTCTGAACACAAAAGGTTGTACATGAGAGAAACAGCTACTGCATTCCAATCTGAGAGTGTGATATTTATAATGTATAAAAACACAATGGAGCAGATGCCCCAATCTGACATTTGAAAAGCAATGCCAGTAGCAAATGCAATGCTCAGGTAAGATACTTCCGCAACACAGCAAAACTTCATTCTAGTATGCTTAGGCACCATTTGCAAGCTACAGGTCAACTGATTTACTAACTTACTGTTAAGTTGCTGTCAACAATGTCTTGCTGTAAAGTTGCTGTCCTAGAGACTTGAACTTGAAAAGTAAAAAAAAAATATGACTGAAGAAATACTGCCTAACTCACACTTTCAGACCGTGTTATTTTGTACGAATGAACTTTTATGACAAATGAAGACACGTGCACATGCCCACGCATTCACATCCACAAACACATTAAAATATTCAAATCATAGGTTTTGTCTCAAGTGACCGAGCCTGAGAGTGAGACATTTTGCTGCCCTTTTTAAACGAGCACAACTTCTACCCAAGGCCTCTCGGACCTGAGCAAAACCGGACATGGGCTAGCACTAGCGTCTCCAGAGCCCTGTGTGGCACATGCTGAGGAGCCACAGAAGACCTGAAAGCAATGCCACTCTGTCTCTCATGGCTCGTCATGCCAGCCCTCCCACCATCTCTGCCTGTCTGTCTGCCTGTGCCCACAGAGCCCCATCCCCCCACCAGACATGGCCAATCAGCACACAGAACAGCCTGTGACATCACTGTGCAGTCGAATTTCCTGCGATCCAATACGTGCATGTTGCTGAGCGTTACTGTGTGTGTGTGTGTGTATATGAGAGAGAGAGAGAGAGAGAGAGAGAGAGAGAGAAAATTCTAACCAGGCCAGAGGTGGAGAGAGGGACAGAGACAAGACATTACACAAAAAAGAATTAGACAGTGTAGTTGTAGTGAATGCATATGACAATTTAGCCAAAAACAGAGATTCCAACCTAAAAAGAAAAGGAAACAGCAGTAAATTACTGCACAACAAGAGAGGAGGGAACGGGAAAAAAAGTCAGGAAGACAGACTATAGAGAGAGACAGAGTGAGACTACAGAGAGACCTGACCTGGCCACAGAGGCCACAGCCTGAGCAGGTCTAAGTGCACAGACTGCATTCAATCCTTACCTCAGGACAATTCAGACTGGGACCCATGGGACATCCGTTACTATGGCAATATCTGTTCATTTAAGCTTATGTTACCACCACACACACATACAGACTTCCAGTGTTTCTCTTATTTTCTGCTCTTCTTTTCTAATGCATTCCTCAACTCCATCAGATGGGTAAGCTTTGTCCTTCTCACTCTTTACCATGTACTCCAACAGAAGCCTATACGAGCTGGGTATTTAGTCAACACTGCATTCTGTGCACACACGCAGGCACAGATACTCACTAATGCAGATACAGCACATCATAAGTACGAAAACAAAAGTAGTGGGGTGGGGAAACTACATGGGTCGACATGATTTGAACAAGTGGAAACTTAAACTGAAGGGGCTGGATTATCAAGGGCTGAATAGACTTATTAAGAGTCTCTACCAGCTGAAGAACTATTGAATTAATGATAAAGTTGCTGTTTCAACTGTCAATCAACCAAGTGTACTGGTGAGATAACTGCTGATAGGGAGGAGCTGTGGAGGGTGGTCACTGGGCAGAGCATCCTGGCCTGATGCTTCTCTTGGCAGACAGCAGCCAGCAATTTCTCACATAGCATGCCAATCGTCACTAACACTGAGACCTCATCAAACCTTCTTAAACTACAAATCCTACAACACAAAAGCCACAATAATTAGACAGTCATTGTTGTCAATAGAAAGCAAGCAAAGATGGCACAACACCCCCTTTTCTCCTTCAATGCCATTATTGAAACCTTATCAGTGAACACCAATACCATTTCGATACTTTATGTTAAAACTACTAAGCTTTAAAATTAGCCATTTTTAACTGAAGCACTTTACTTAAGATGAGCATCTAAATGTGGGCTCATACATGCTCAAACTACTCAAACACTCTACTACCCCAAAGGATGAAATACACAGCTAATAACAACACATCACACAATGTGAGTATGTGCTTATTCAAGCTAGTTTTGTTAAAGGACTGAATTCATTCTTTTTCCATCCGAAATGTGAGCCAGCATCTTCTGCTGATATCAGACCTGTACCAGTACCCACTGATATGCCATGTCCAAAAGAATGCAAACATGTAATTTACTTAAAAATAGTGTTCTATAAAATTTATAATAATAAATACCGTCATGTTATTCCAACAGATTACAATATACTACAGGATGCACTGACGGTGACAGATATTTTCTTGTACCTTAACAAAAACACTTCTCACACAGATGATATTTTGAATTATAATTGTGCTGTGATGGGGCAAAGCGAAAGGAAACTGCCAAAGCCATAATGATGTGTTTAATAAATTCACAAAAATCAAAAAATCAATCTACTTCATCAAATCATGTGTTCTGGGATACCTGGCAGCTGTGCTCCTCGAGCAAAGGTGTACAAATGGATGTCCTTCCTTCCTAGACCAGACCAATCCAAAAGAACTTGGCCACCGAATTTGTCAAAGCAACAATCTTTTCTCTATTTCCCCATTTACACCTGGTTGTTTAATGTGCCATTAGTATCAGGATTATATCTCTATATAGAAACAGATTTCTCACATTAAAATGCAGGGCTAATTGCACCCAAGACGCATTTAAATAGATTTAAATCTCATCTTTCAAGCTAGGATGTAGTTAGAGATGCCATTTTAGCCAGATTCTATATATGTGTGAACGCATCAGTCTCTCCCAGCCACTTTTAACCAAAAACCCTCCCAAGAATCTATTGCAATATTGTGACAATGCCTTCCTCTGCTATTCTGCTTATGGTTAATGGACTGGCCCCTTGAGAAATCCAATACTTAACAGAGGCTGCTCCTTCAGATCAGCTCCTGACAGGAGTTTCTCCTCCGAGTTCAATTCAGTAGCGCATTTAGCAGCCTGTATACCGAGCTAGTTAGCTTATAAAAGCTACAGTTTGGCTCCTTTTTAGTTGACCGTCATTCTTCACCATCTCACCACAATATTATGCTTTAATGCATGCATGGCAATGAGAACTAACACACTAGGCTAATTACTCTAAACAGCAATCTTCTTGTATCAACTGCTGGCATAAGAAAATGAACAGTGGCATGCAAAATTCTGATTTTTGAGGGTTCAAGGATCTTTTGAACATAAGAGAACAAATGAGGAACACAGGTAACTGGCTGTTGTATATGAGCTAATTTGCATATTACTCTCCATGCAGCAATAGGATTTCAATCCAATGAATTAAACACACATTTGACTATGTAAAAATGAAAGTGGTTAAGATCTTAACAGGTTGCAATCTAGACACTAGTTGCATGAAATGGCCAGATGTACATAGGGTCTATGGTGTAGCAAGAGTATGACGCAGCCAAGATATTACACGTGCAATGTATTGCTGACAGGATCGCTAAGGAGGCGTAGAGATGAGAAGAGACGACTGGAGCATCTGAAATCCAACCACTTTGAGCTATCTGTATTCTTCACAACTTCCAGGGCCAGCACGGTTCAAGGCGATCCACGTACAGGAGCAAAGGTCCAGTGGACCAAAGCTCCATGTGGCCTAGTCCTCCACTACCACAGACCTGTGACATGTGATCCTGCATATTTTCATCATTTCTGTGGTTGATCATGGTGGTCTGCTTGGGGCTCTTTTTTCCCCCCCGATTTTCTTGGCACGTTCTAGCCTGCATTGGAGTTTTGGGGAGAACCTCAACTCCTGGGAGAAGGCAAACAAAGCCAAGGCAGCACAATGAGGTCTGCAAGAGGAAATTCCGCCAGGCTACCTTTGCCATCGTGTGCAGGAAAGACAAAGAAGAACAGAGAGCACTCAGACAGGCTTTGTCTCCTCTCCACAAGGCATTGTTTTTCAATGATAGCTCTGCATTCAAATACAAAGCCTCAACATTTAGGAGAGGGAGAGTGGCTTTGTGCAACTGATGGCACTGTGGCTCAGATATACCTTGGGCATCTTCACTAATTCAGCACTGAGGGGGGATAGCAACAGAACAGCTTTAACTAGGACCAAGCACTCAGGCACTTCAGCGAGGGCTGTACAATTAGCGGTGTATTAATCACTATTAGCAATTTTGGGCTCTGCGATATGCTAATCACAAAAGGCCATAATTAATGCATCCATTTAGTAGTACGCCCACTGCATCAAAATCAAGCATTCATAGCTGTAAACAGCATTAGCCACAAATTGAGAGCTTTGGAGCTGTAAAGAATTCAGCTGATGTCCAATCTACAGTGTTTCCACTCAAACACTGTGAAAGACTGTACTCTATCTGCAGTCTGTCAAACAGCAGGCATGCCTGCAGAGTGTGTAGAGATTGTGTATTAAAATGTGCCACATCTCAACTAATGAGATTCACAATAGCTTTAAAAAAATAAACAAATAAATAAAACTAAAGTCATAAACATGCAGCCCTAACCAGTGACAATCTTCTGATTAAAGTTCACAGAAAAAGCCCTAGGGCTGTATAACATAGATAAAGTATCACGTTTTGATTATATTGCTGCATGTTGCAAATACATTATACCTTGGAACATATCAAAAAACATGCTAGTGTAGACCACAGTTAAAGACTGGCCCATATTTTTACCAAATTTATTTGTATTTTTTGGATCATATAAATGTACTGATTCCTCCAAACACCCCAAAATAAAACATAACAATTAACAAACAATATGTTAGTGTGCCTAATCAGTAAGCGTTGACTATGTCTTACAAATTAACTTAGTGGAAATCTGACTTTGCCATGGTTTTCTGTTGAATTTGAATGCTTGTTCATGCATTGCTGCTTTGGCCCGTGGAACAATATCAGGGCAGAGAGAGAGATAGAAGTCGTCGATATGGATCAGGTGTTGCAGAGGCTGAAGGTACAGCGGTCCATAGAGGTTGCTTGCTGGTCTGAGAGCCTGAGGCCATTTTCAGCCTCAGCAGCACAGGATGGCGCAAATACTGGGAGAGGAGTGCAAGTGAGGTCCCAAGCCACAGCCCAATCTTTTCTAATCCCTCACTGAAAAACCATATTTTCAAATTCACAATGTGACCCAAAAGCTCCAGACACCCCTCCAAATTAGTGAGTTCAGCTGATTAAGGTGCACCCATTGCTTACACAGGTACTCGACTGCACTCATTGCGGAATCTTTGAGGTGACTGAGCCCCGCTGAATACCTTTGGCATGAGTCAGAGTGCTATTTGTGAAGAACTAATCATCCAACATCAGTACCTGACCTCACTAATGCTCTTGTAGCTGAATGGTACAATCAAAGCATGTGTGTGGTGGCGGCAAGCAGGGGGTGTCAAACTCCCTATTAATAATCTTTGATTCTGGACAAAATGTCAGATGCGCAGGTGTCTACAAACTTTCTGACATCGTTTACTCACAGGGCAGGGAGCACTAAAACATCTGATCCTCTTATGAATGATATTGATGCAACATGGCGCTTATTCAGCAGTGCTAAAGTTCTTTTTGGGGTCATCACTCCTCACTTAATAAGCTGTAATGCTATATATTTATTTGGCAGATTTGCTCTGAAATACCTCTGCATCTTATCAAGGAGTGTCAATCCTGGGGGTGCCCATTGCTGCACAATTTAGTCATGCCTCTGCTTCATCACATCTGATACTAAAACTGATCCTAAGATCTGCTTGCTATGAAAACAATTCATGAGACACAGGTAAGGGACAAAACTGTTTCACTGTGGGAGGAAGACAGACGCCAGCCAGTGAGTTCGGGGGGTCCCCCAGGAATGAGGTGGAAAATGACATATCAGTCATATTCCCCCAACAAGCAACTGCACTCTTAATGGTCTACATACATTTGGATAGATGCATGAATTAAGGTAGCAGTTAATCATGTTCTTTAAAAAAAACAACCGAAAGAATGAGACTTCATATCCACCTTCATCAGTGACCAATTCAGCCACAAATTAACTCTCTAATATTTAAATTTGCCACTGCAGTTTACGCCTTGACTCATGAAGGCTAACTTAGCTAGGACAATGGCTCACATCTTACCTCACTAGCTTTTCCAGCAGTAGGTTAAGATCACTAAAGTCCCCCAGTTTATAGGCTACTGCCTCGGTCCAACTTCAGTCACTTTACGTTACTTCATGTCACTGAAAAGTATCACTTGGCAGAACGTGTGACAAATTATGTGCATCCCAGACCTTCTTCAAAGCAGTTCAGTTCCTAGCTAGCTAGCCATCAACGAAAACCTGAGGTTTCCGAGCCACCACGAGCACGGAGCTAGACGAGCTTAACTTTAAAAAGCTTTAGAGAGGTTTACTTTGGCAGAAAATAAACGCTGCCTCCTTTCTAACAGTGAATGAGACTCAAGACTCGCTACAGTAAAATGCTAACACGCTCGAGTCGGGCGAAAGTAGTTAGAAGGGAAAACCTTGGAGGGGTCTCGAAACTAGACTCTTCGTCTTCATCCCGCTCCTCAGTCACCATCATCATCCTCCTCCAGTCACACAGCGCATGAGGCACTTCAGCTTTAGAAAATAAAGAGGAAGGACAGACCGCGCTGCTAGCTCTAAGCTCAACAAAATAAACGAGGCCGACGCGAAGGGAGGGGGGGGAGAAACAGAAAACACACAAAACGTGCTCTCTACCTCCGACCCGGTACATGTTGGCTGCCATGCCTGCCCCTGGTCCTGGTCCTGGTGGCTCCAGGTAGGGCTTCCACACGCCGCCGCCGCTAACAGTGCCGCCGCTGAGTGAGTGTGGTGGAAAATGGTGGATTGATCAATACGAAGCGGACCAGTCAAGGGATCTTAAAGAGACAGTGCGTATATTTTTGAAGAGTTCACTTTCCCTCGCGCGGTCAGTTTACCGGAGCTCGCGGAACCGTGAGCGGGACTCGTTTAAAACTCGAGACAAAGCGGGGTGGTCAGGAAGAGAGGCCGGGGTCAGAAGAGAGCCGAGGGTGGAGAGGAGGTGGAGAAGAAGGGAGGAGGAGGAGGAGGAGGAAAGTAGGAGAGCAGAGCGCGAGCATCACCATCTAACTCAGTCTCCGCCTCCCTCAGAAAGACCGAAACAATCGCTGTTGTACTACTTCAGACCCACTAGAGGCAAAATAACAAAGTAAACAACTGTTGCTTTCAGAATGAGCACCCCAACGAGTCCTCTCACGGCTAATAAAGACACATGAAATGTACAAGAGCGAATGGCACGGTGACAGATTTCTGATGTATCTCACCTGAGACACGCTCTGATACCTCTCCTTTTAGAGAAAATTAGCTTGGTGTAAACACGCACTGAGTCAAATCAAACAAAGGCTCTGTCCAGGCCTGGTGGGGGTATATTTTATGATATATGCTTCATTAGCTACTTTAGGCCATGACCATTTTTGAGAAGATTTAAAAGTTGTGAAACTTCTAGCCTACTCCCATAAGTCTCAAGTCCAGTTTTAACACTGAAGCTTTTGATTAAAATTCACTTTTTTATCATGAGCATCCCCACATCAGCACAGTCTTTACCAAAGTCTCACCACACTTATAGTTAAGGAAAACTTGAATCACTGTTTTTCAAAAATCGACACTGTGGGTGGTACACGTTCCAGAGTTTTTTTCTGTAAAGAATGAGTCAGCATGTGAATAAACCAAACAGAGGAGACTGGGGCGACAGCAGGAAACACTTAGCAACTCTAAGTACAACTGGCAGAAAACAACATTAATACTGAAGATAGCTACAGTGCGAACGTTAGGCAGCCAGTCGCAGAGTTGTAAGACGTTCAGTGAATTCTCTGTAATCAGAACAGAGTACAAGACATTGATTCACACAGTTTGTACTGTTGTGTTCTCAAACAGAGGTGCTACTCCACTTTTTCACTCATTCCTTGCAAGCACATGGCCTACCAACAAGACTTATACATTGACAATAGCACTTAATATAAAAATATGTATTGTGTAATGTAAGAAATGCTGTGAAAACCTAAAAATATGAGATGTGCATTAACTGTGTTCAAGTGCATTCAGTTAGAAGTTGTAGTTGCTTGATCTGGCTAGGCCTGGGTGGTAGGGATGTGATCTGGGGAAGTGGGATCCTACAAGGGTCTTGGTTTTAAGGCTGAGAAGCTACTTTCGTGGTTATCGTTAGCGTAGGCTGAGTGGAATGCTGTGGTGTGTGTCTGATCTACACCATATGAAACCCCAACAAACAGCTCTGCCTCCAGCTGTAATCTGCAGTCATGTGATGAGCCTCAGCCAATGGCAGGTTTTGACCTACCGTCTGTGCAGGCTCAAAATGAAGCCAATTCCATACTGCTGATCTGTGTGCATGTGTGTGCATTCAAGCAGCTATACCCTTCATTTAGACAAAATTCTTGCTGTTTAATCATGCAGAAGGCCTCCCTCTTACTTAAGTCCATGACACATTTACTCTGTTAGGAGTGAAAAACATAGTCTACTTATAGGCCCATTGTTGCAGCACTTAACTGGAATTAACCTACTGATTTTGGGGAACGCAGAATGTGTTTTAAATGTAAGTTAGCTCCTATCACATCATATGACCTCAGGCATGGTGGGTGGATTTACTGTCAGTCATGCCTTTAACCAACAAAACGTACTCCACTCAATTGTGCTTTGATATGGCTTTGGATCCAGACATCACTGTGGACTTGGAACAAAGTGACTACTAAAAGCACTGCACGGCACTGAGGCTTTTGGTGAAATTTTCAAAATGTAGTTTAATCTTTGTTTAACCAGGGCATTCACACAAAGATGAAAAGTCTCTTTTCCAAGTGAGCCTTGGCCAAGAAGGCAGCACGCAAAACATAATAGACAAAGTGGTAAAACATAAAATAATTTGTTTAAAAAATCACTGAAGATTAATTGACCCATTCATGTCTAATAATAAGGAAAATGCCTTTGTCTAAAGCAGTGGTCACCACCCTGGTCTTGGAGATACACTTACCTTGAATTCACTTCCAACCCTAACTGAACACATCTGGCCCATTTCATCATTCTACTTAATTAGTTGGATCAAGTGTTTTAGATTTGGGCTGGAGGTGAATTCTGAAAGAAAGTAGATCTGCAGGAGCAGAGTTGGTGACCACTAGCCAAAAGTGATGAAATTTTGTATAGTTACGTCTTGGATGAACATTTTCATACCTTAATTCACAATCAAATTTAGACTTCCTATTGTTTAAATAAAATATGACCAAAAGGCTGAATATTTCTCAGCACCATCGGTTTAACAGAATTCACAATTTTGTATTCTTTTTGCATTTTTTTCCATCAACGTTCTTTCACTGCAATACCCAGGGTGCATTGTGAAAAGAAATCATACATCCATTGAAATTAAAACTTAAAATCTTACAGTGAAAGTTGCCCAAGTTTAATGTGTTTCTGTTCAGTGATAATGGGGTACTATAGATAAAATCTGCTTTGCCAAATTCACCAGAATGTGAATGTAAATGCTCTCTCTTTCTCTCTCTCTCTCTCTCTCTCTCTCTCTCTCTCTCTGTCTCTCTCTCTCTCTCTCATATGAACATGTACAGCATGTTTGCATATTGTGTACACACACACAATACCAATGCTCCATCTCTCTCTCTCTCTTGTTCTCTTTATGCTCCAGTACAGCAGGCAAGGGCAGCAAGAAACACAGAAGAAATCAATTAAAGCTTGATTAAGCCCTCTTCACCCTCTCCTCTTGTTCTTTGTAATTTATAATTACATATAAGCTGAAGGGTCAGAAAAGGTAGATGTGGTTTGCCACAGAGTTGTTTACTTTACCCAACCACACATATGTATGTACATATATGTATGATTTATGAGAAAGCTCTCAATCACCCTACGGGTGAGCGTTGAATAACATAATTGCATCTGTCCAGAAAAAGAAATTCACTCGGAGTGATATGAATGACAGATACACTGCGAATAAAGAGAGAAATAGTCAAGCCTTCAGAAGGTACCACAGTGAATGTGTTAATCAGATATGAATTTAAACTTCTCTTTAAAGCAGAGTAAAGCTCAGTAGAGTTATCCCTCTATCCCACATTTTTTTTACGATCAAACACCAGTTTTCATGACTGATCACAATGCGCTGCAAAACAGAAGCCAGAGACAAACTGATAGCATTGCTTAGGATAATGGTAAGATAGCTGAGATAATGGTTTAACAGTAATTACATTTAAATTTTCATTTTGAATGGGCTGGCTGGAAAGGGGTAGGTGGATAAATGTACACTATTTTCCTCTTCCACCCAAATGTAGTCTATCAGCCAAGTCATATTTGATGTCTAATGTAGGCTAATGTAGCTAACAAGTAATGGAAGCTTATACTCCACCAGTTAGCATAGTTAGCAAACCACATGCCTAAATCATTACACAGTTGCCTCAAACCATGTCAAATTCTTATGTCATTTCAAATAGACTTGCTTATGACATTGTAAAATACAAATTGTGAAGAAATGCAGTCTATTTTTGTCTTGGCTGATCAATTATTTGTTTTTGCCAAACCATCACTATAAAGTCTTATCAACTAATTGGACAAATCTTTCATGCTTATTTTTCTATTTTGCTGTATTGTTGGTGATTTGCCATATTTAATGACAAATTACCAAGTATAGCTGCCTTGTGGATAAGAATTTATTTTTAAAAATCAGAACCTACAGCTTGGTTTTTATATGGATATATGTAATTTTCTGCATGTCTCAACAAACATGTATTTTTGGCACAGACTGTGAAATGAATTTCTTCTCACAGGACAATAAAGAAGCAATAAATCTATCTATTGCTTCTCAGTGCTGCAAGCATTTTACACTTTTTATTACCATGTTGTGTTTTTCACTCCTGCTGTGTATGAGCAGAATATTTGAACTTACAAGTTTCTACATTTATGACATATAAATCAGTATAAACTATGGAACCCACAGCACCAGCTTGTATGAAGACAGCAAATATGTCATTACATATCATGCCCACTGTACCCAGTATGCAAAGCAGTTGTATGAAATAGACAGGAAACTAAAAGGATGTTCTTTGATTTTTAAGGGTCAGGGAAAAACAAATTTTTGTTCACATATTATATTTATTATACAAACATCATAAGTGGACCTCAGAGGAAAAAAATAAATTCAAGAAAAAGGAATACGGACCTATGAAAGGATTCAGCCTGATTTAAAGTGTCACCAGGTGGCAGCATTGACCTTAACTGCATTGCCCAAACCACAAACTAAACCAGACTGCGTGAAACAGATATAATACACAGAAATAATATAACACTTAACAATTTAAAATAATATCTCCAGGCAAAAGATCATGATCAGACCTGATGCCAGCCTGTATGACCCTTCTTAAAGTCATATTCACATTACTGAAGTACTACCTATTAAACACAGGCTATTTCAGCTATCAGTGTAAAGATGTATGGTATGTCCTTCACCAGCAGAGGGTGCAGTTAATTCATTTTATAGTCTAACCTGGGTTTTGTCCCCATGTGCTCTCTACAGCGCAAAGCTGGCTCACACAGCCATCAGCGGCCTGCACTGTTCTGACTGCAGACGGCGAAATGGCACTGAAGTAATTGGTTCATCGCGTCTCTTT